CCCTCCCCCTTTCCCCTTCCTTTTCTGCCACAACACTTCAATTAGATCTCCAATCACCAGCCATGCTAGGCTGTCATTCCTATCAAAATTTGACAAAGATTCCCAGAAAGCAGCTTTCTTCTGATGATACGGAGTACCATACATCCAAGTGCAACGAGCTTCAAAATTCTCTAACACCTCCTTTACTATTGTATCAATCCATTACTGACATGAATTGATTATCTCAATCCCATGCTTCCACCACACAGTCAAACCACCAGTTGTGCCAACAGGGTCTACCGTAAAACTCTTATGAAAACCATATTGTCTACGTAACAAGTTTATTCTTTAGGTGTTCCTTTTTGTCTCCATAAGAAACACCATTGAGGGATTTTTTGAGCGGATTAGCTCCTTCAAATAGAGACCTATCAAGGGATTACCCAAACCTTGACAGTTCCTGGAGACTTGTCTCATTGATCACGTGTGGCTGATTTTGGCCAGCCACCACAACCATTTTTCGCCTCCTTTTCATTTCTCAGTCTATTTAGTTTGTTCTTTGCCTCTGCCAACTCTTTTGTATGACTGATCTCCACATCACATAGATCAACATCCTCAAGAACAATACTGTTGGTACCGTGACTAACCAAGTAACCAGGAGTCCCACATCGGAAAACTACAAGAAATTGACACTCCCCCTCACCTATAAAAGAAGACTACTCCCCCCTTAGAAAAGGGCTCTCTCTTCGGGACTCTCCTGCTGGTCTGGTCTTCGGGTCTTGGGTCTCCGGATCTTGGAATTTGACCCCTGGGCTTCAGATTCCTAGCTTTGTACCTTAGGCCCTAGGCTTTCTTCCATTTATCTTTGGGTCTAATCCCCTTGTACAAACGTAAACAAATCATAATGAAAACATCTTCTCCGTGTACGTAGCCCATCATTCGGGTGAACCACGTATATCTTGTCTTCTGCATGCTTATTTACTTTATTTACCTTAACTGCCGAAGACACATACACCTGCTGAGGACCCATGTCTTCGCACATCATCCACCATTCCACCTCTATCTAAGTTGACCCTCCCAAAAAGAGCATCAACAAATACCTCTGTTTCCTCTTTGTAATTTATGAGCACCACGAGTTCTGCTATTCGCTCCATGAGTTTGCCCCATGCTACTTCGACCTCCCCTACAAGAGAAGCGTGAAGAAAATCCTGCTCTTGGAGAGAATGAGGGTTTAATCCTCTTAGTTGGGTTCGAGAAGCGAATATCTAACTGCATCGGCGATTTATCCTAACACCTATCACGTGCTTGCTTTTCCTCCAATACACTTATGGGCTGTGTCTCCTGTACCTCTACAATCTTGGGCCCATTACCCGTTTCGGTTGGACTTTTAGCAGCATAATTCTCGGTAGGCAGAAGGAGGTTGCTGGGCTTAGCAAAGGCCCAGGGAGGGATATTTTTTAGGTCACACCAATTATGCTCCAGTGAGAGCCCATTCACTGCTAGGGTTAGGGTACCGTTTTTTAAATGAGTTCCAAAACTTTCTAGGTCCCATAACCTAGCCTAGCATAGTCTGCACGATTAGGCATGCGAGGGGACATCCTAGCTGCATCAGTCCCAGGAATCATAGCAACAGTTTGAGACACTGACCCGGACAGAGGGGGTAATGATGTCGTTGTTTTAAGGATTTGTCGTATTTGCTAAGGTATTGCCCAGCAGTCCGTCGTACAAACATTCACCACTTAAAGCAAAACTCTTTAAGTCCTTCATACGCTAGCCTGATTTTCCTGTGACCAGAAACAACACAAGGAAGGATAAACCTTGATGGGAGAGGTTTCGAGGCATCAATATTCACCCTGATTCTAAGGAAACCTATAAACTCAGTTTCAATGGTATCCTCCACCTCTAGGACAGACCCGATTCTTCCCCCCAACTACCTTGCATTCTTCATGGTGCATAAATTCCTTGGAAGCCCATGTGCCTATGCCCAATAGATTGCACGATCGGGAATAATATCATCTAAAGAGTGGTATAGAGGCTAAGGCTTAAGGGTGAAAGTGTAACCCTTTATGAACCAAGGATTTCCTTCATATAATCTTCTGGCTACCTCTTCTTTTTCCACCGTGATGGAGTAGACATTTTCCTTTGCTCGACACACCTTAACATTTCCCATATTGCTCCAGACCACTCTTAGGATATCTTTTACTATTGAATGAGGATGTTCATTCTCAGCAATGAGTAAACCCACAAGAGCTATTTTGTTTTCAATCCTCTCCTCTTGATCAAGACTGTCCTCAAAGTGAATAGCCATCTCGTCAGTAAGCAAATCATCTTCCCAGTCCCTATTTTCTCCTTCCATGTTTTTCCTTACAGCAGCCAAAAGAGAAAGCAAGAAAAACTTTTTGAAAAGAACAGAAATCTGCACTGAAAGAGCGAGATCTTTACAATAGAGCCATAAAAGACTCACATAATAGCCATACAGGCTCACATAAAAGCCATAAAGACTTCACGGAGAATCTGAATCTCTCTCTCAAAGAGTTAACTCATGCTGTCATGAGTTGTTTAGGTGTATTTAGGAGGAACCTGCAATTTTGTCTAAGTTTTCTAGTTCCGTTTGACAATTGCTAAAGCAACATTTTGTTGTAGTGATACGGTGCTTCAAGGAAGTACTAAAATTTCAATAATTTAATTGATTGGTCAAATGATTTCAGATTCAAGTGATTTTTTTATAGAGATGATTTTTGAATGAATATCTATAAAATAGACGATTTGTATTAGTGAAATACAATGCGGAATAGGCCCTACAATGGTGTTATTTGAGGAATCCCTCAATGGAAGTTATATATATACAGTCCCCTTCTATTGAGGTTTAAGGTTTATGAGATCAAATTGTTACCTTTTAACTTATAATTTATGCAAGAGAGAGAATATTAAGTTATAATAATTTATTCGAGAGATAGACTAAGTTATAATTTATGCATGCCAAGTAAAAAGAAACCAAAAGATTTTTTTTCCGAAATAAATATTTTATTTTTTATGGTAACCTCAGTTCCAGTATCCTCATGGTCGTCATCATCTTCTTTTACTTGGAGTAGTGCAAAATATATAATGTCGTTTAGCCCTCATCAGTGCTCAAGTATGTTGATTGTGAGTTTTGGCGACTTAATTAGTTTCTGAAATAAACAATTTGTTCAGAATCAGTAGTTGATCACGTGAAGAAGTAAACACAAAAGATCGATTGTGTAAACTCATAAAACTTGCAATGTTTTTGTGAAATTGAGTGATTTTTTTAACAGATACGAAGTCAGATAGTACCATAATACCCTGCCAGCTTCTGTCATCTAGCAGGATACAAGGGACATTATCATCTATTTTGCAGTAGTCGAGAATTGGCCTCAGGGTCGTTTGTCTTATTCGAAAATAATTGCCAATCGGCCCCTTTGTAGTTGAGGTTGAAGAGTATATCCCGTTTAATTCAATTTTAGATAGTGAGTACGGTACGTCCTGTTCTGATTATCTTCTACCTCTTAAACTCATTAAGAAACAATTTCATTTCAAATAATTAATTATGAAAACTGGACCATATTGGGTGTTTTTTAAAAATAATGATGAAACAAAATATAAAAAACATCTCAACAAATTCATCCCAAGGAAAAGGTTTCGGATTTTCATTGCTCAATTCATTCTCGCAACTTTGATTTATACAAGCCTATTTCTGTGGTATCGAGTAAGACATTTCATCATCAAAACAAAACAAGTACGCCAAAAAGAATGTTCCAATTGTGTTCAAGGGGGCATTGAACCTACAGAAACTGCAATATACAATCGAACCATTTACATCACACAATCTACAACAACTTTGGAAGGCCCTCTCGTTCACCTTGCAAGCCTGCCATCTCGATGCAGATCCTTCCAGCATATCTCACGACCACATTCCCCACACACAGTAGTGCAACCAATTTTTGTCCCCTGACTTCTAAGGGTTAGCAAATGTGAAAGATTAGTGCATTTCCGCTGCACAGAAATATCCTTCGCTTTCGATTCAGCAAGGCTGCTCATCTCTGGTGCAGATGAGGCCACATTTAGTCCAGCGGGCTTTCGGTCAACTGCAGATTCATTGAGAGGAACTCTCTGCACTTCCTCCCATTCCAATGCTCTCCGGTATACTTCCCAAGCCATGTCTTGCTCCTCCTTTGAGAGCTTTCCCTCTTCATTCTCTTGCAAAAGGGTCTCATGTTCGTGGAAATTGGCAATCCACCTGAAAACGAGGTAGTTCATCCGTAAGAGAGTGAGTGAGGGGGGTAAATATGCCAACAGTGGCCCGCTGTAGCCAGGCAACCAAATCATATACCAATAGATGATGAAAATACTAAGAACATGGAAACATACCTTGGATAGTGCTTGCCAAGTAAACCTTCCATTAGCTTGTCAGAAGAGCAACTTCCTTGAGAAAGAGGCACTTCGTGTTTAGGCAAAATTTCAACTTCACCAGTCATATTTTGGTCCGAGCATCCTTTATCTTGGCCAAGCTCATGGTTCTCATCATCACCGAATTCAAAAAGATGCAACATCTCTTCCTTAGATATTGTCCTATGTACCTGTTGTCTATCAACAACCCTTGCAGCCAGGCCCTCCTTTGTTACCTATTTGCCACATTTCCTTTGTTAAAATTTCATTCACATAATAGAACCATACACCCAGTTTGTTCTCCCATTACCTGACGCTTATAAATTTTTTCTTCCATGGTTCCATGTGCCATCAATCTGTAAGCGAAAACCGGCTTTGTTTGGCCATACCTGAAAACGGAACAAATACATTGTTTAGAATTTGTCACATTGTTCGTCAAAGATTCATGCTTGGTAGAGGAACAATAATCATCAGGCTTACTGTCCCCTGTCCACCAAGGACTTTGATATGATATAACTATGTGTAAGAATTAGAGGGGTGGGACCATCTTGAAGTGGCTTTGTCTGGCACACGCCTAAAGCTTTCGTATTTATTTCCCAAAAAGAAAGAATGAGATAAATCTCCTGCACCCCATCTCCAAATTTAGCCTCTATTACAGTCCACAACGCCATTCATAAAATAGCCACAGTTTGACTTCTGATTTTATACTTCACAAGAAACCAAACCCCAAGGCCTCTAATTGTTGCAGTCAATTCAATACATAGTTTCATAATTGCAGCTACTCATCTCTCTTAAAACCTAAAACCTCAAACAGTCCCTCCAAGTTACAAAGTTCACCAGCTTTTAATGTGATATACCCCCAAAATTACACTACATCAAAGGTGCACTTACTAAACAAGCTGAGTTGAGGACTACAAAAGCATAAATGCAAACTCACCTCCAAGCACGGAATATAGCCTGAAGATCGTATGTCGGATTCCAAGAACCATCAACTATGATTACACGATTAGCAGCATGGAGATTTATCCCCAAAGATCCAGCTCTGGTGGAAATCAGAGTGCATTTCACCCTCTTATTTAGGGGATCATTAAAGCGCTCAACCAACTTTTGCCTTTCTGAGCTCTCTGTTCTTCCATCTAGCTAGGCGGTCGCTAGGCGGCTAGGCGGTCCCTAGGCGGTGGCTAGGCGGCTAGGCGGTCGCTAGGCGGCTAGGTAGTAGCTAGGCGGGCGCCTAGGCTGGTTGGGTCTTTTTTCGGTGCCGAAGCCGGAGGACGAAGCAGTGACTGCGAGAGAAAGTTCCATCCTCTGCGAGTGCAAGCTTATGTATAGCCGTTCGGCTGTACTTTTAAAATATTCGAATGAAATTAGAAAGTATAGCCGTGTGGTTGTACGTTTATAATTTCTATTTATAGAGTCGAGCCTTTCGGCTATAATGCTAAAATATTGTATTTAAAGCTGATCGGCTATACTGTTAATATATTGTATTTAGAGAGTATAGCCGAGCGGCTATACTGTTATAATTTCTATTTGTGCATGTATTAAAATAAATAAAATGTGTGATACTAATAATAAGATCCATGAAATAAATTCTTCTTTCTTCATCTTTTTTTCCTGCCTGGATCAACCAAAATTGTGGGTGTTCATCATTCTTAAAATGCTTCAATCCTTCAAACTTGCGAGCAATATCTTAGACTTATTTAATTATTATTTCTTTAATCAAATATTTAAATACTAATTATTCACTAAGTAAATAGTAATTAAAAAAGAGAAATCAAGATTATGCCATTCAAAGGGTATAGCCAGTCGGCTATACTTTTAAAATTTTCTTTTTTATTCATTAAATAATATCTTAGCCTTGTTTAATTACTTTCATTAGTGATTACGTTTTAATTATTATTTCTTTAGGGAATAGCATTAAATATTTTAATAAAAAATCATAATTGTAAATAATGTCTTACATTTGTAAATGATTCAATTACTCATTTGACTCATATTCCCTGTTCTTTTTAGTGTCCAACCACAATTGTACCATTCTTTGGGGACCAGCCGTTTTTGGGGGAGAGGGTGCATGCCAGTGCCAGAGGAGTAGGTCCTGCACCCATTCCAGCTGATGAATTCTCGCTTGAAAAGTTGGTCGATGCCATACGCTTCATGTTAGATCCAAAGGTATTTAGTTTACCATTTTCTTTTTAAACTTCCAAGTGATTTACATATAATTTGTCATTTCTTGAGTGTAAACTTATCATACATGCATACGTACTGATTTAATTGAAGAGGCTTATTTTCCATCAGGAGGTGTTTTGGCTACTCCTCCTCCTACACATGATTCTTCACTAGTCCACAACGATGTTTTATTCCTATCATGTGCAAGACATCATAAATGTGAAATTCTAATATCCTCTTACTAGGTTACTTAACATTACATCGTTTTTGTTGCTCTGACTCTTAACAGTTGCACATACTGAAGATGCCATCTCATTAATGGAGCTCAAAAATCCACCAGACATGAAGAGGGGATAGAGTCAACCTTCTGAATAGACCTAAATCACAAATATCACCTGTTTCTTTGGACATGCTACTATGGCAATCCACATGTAGGCTATAGTCAAAATTCCAATTAGAGCAGCGATATAAGGCAAGAGACAATAAAAAGGCGATCAGTTGGATTCTTGTTGTTCCAATTGGAGAAAAAAATATCAATGTCACCATCATCATCCATCCTCAATGACTACTTGTTTGATCTACATTCGCATGAGCATCAAACTGCCCAATCCCAGTTTAATTAGGCTCCAACTCATATATCCTCCAACATGGTTTCATCATTCAATAACATTATCAAAAGCCTTAAACTCATTTGACAACCCCACTCATCGTCCTACTTAATTCATCATGTGCAACAGAGAGTCGAACAATGCTTTTTATAGGTGCTACTTACTGTAACCACTTCAACCTTAAAAAAAAAAAACTGAAAACGTTTCACAAGTAAAACAAATATCATTCCAAATACAAAGCACTTGTTGCCGTGATTAGTTTCATATCAAAATTCATATGTAAAAGCCAGATACAAAATACATGTAAACATGAAGGAAATACAAAGTCCACCACAGTTCTATCATAATTTAGTGATATTTTAAATTAAATGATAGTCCTGTGGAAAAACAAAACTATAAAGATCCCACATCGACCAACGGAGAGGGGGTGATGTGCCTTATATGTACATGCTCGCATCCATCTAGCACGAGGCCTTTTGGGAGCTCATTGGCTTAGGAGTCATGGGAACTCCGAAGTTAAGCGAGTTGGGGGCTAGAGCAATTCCAGTATGGGTGACCCACTGGGAAGTTGCTCGTGAGCTCCCAAAAACAAAACCGTGAAGGCAGAGAAGGGGGCCCAAAGCGGACAATATCGTGCTACGGCAGAGCCGATCCGGGATGTGATAAAAACACCCCAATCTTTAGAGACCAAAGCAACACACAACCTTCATGCCACACAAAACCCGCTTCATACTTCACATTCTATTCTATTTTCTCGGAAACCAAACGGAATAGTCTAAAATCAAAGCATAACATATGTACATACCTTCTAATATGTAACCACGAATACATATCTATGAGTGTGTCTCGATTTTGAAATAATAATCAACAAATACATTGAACCGTGAAGATTTCAGAAAATGAAAAGTGAAAGTGTTTGGAAAAAAAAAAAAAAAAAAAAAAAGGGAACTTACAGTGACATTCTGAGGAGATGGAGATGGATATCGTCGTTTAGAGAAAACCCTAGCCTTAGCTTGATCCACGAAGAGAGGGAGAATTCAGAGTGTAGGAATCAAAGCAAAACCGAAATCCTAAGATTGATTTTTGGGTTTCTTGAGCGCAAATTTGTATTCGAATATTTATACTTTTTAAATATTAAAATAAAATTTAAAGAGTATTTAAATATATACTGGGATCCTTTTTAAAAAAACCAAAATCTTTTCCTAATTTTCTTTTATCGATAAGAGTAGTTTAGAGTATTATTTATTACTATTTGGCCATTATCCGAGTCTCTATTGTCTCCTTTTGATTTTTAACTAGCATTTTCCCGTTTAACACTTGTATTATACATATACGTACATGTTTTTTTTTAATAATACTTTCGTTTATCGTACACGTCTTAAAGACTTAGTACAATACACGTATGTACATATTTTTCATGTTTAATACACGTGTTTTTTAACAAAATTTTCAATAATACATACAAAATTCAAGTATTATACACATAAAATTATACGGTAGCCGAACTTTTCAGTTCCAAAAGGTTAAGTGAGAAAATTTCGATTTTAGGGTGTAAAGTGAGAAATTAAGACCCTTTGTATAGCCGCATGGCTATATTATTTTTAAAAAAATTAAATAAAAAATAAAAATCTTCCGAATAGATAAGCTAAAGAGCATCTCCAAAGGAGATGTCAAATCCTACGTGGCGCTTTTAATGAATAAAAATAAAAGCTGAAATTTACTCCAACCAAACTGCTATAGTCTATGTGGAATGGCATATGAAGCCTCTACTGTCAAAATTGCCGTCAAGTGCTAGAGACGTCTTTTGATTAATTTATTATTTCTTTGCCCATCTGGTTGTGGCTTTATCATTTCATTTAATACTTATCTATATTTTTTTTTCTTCTTGTTATTATTTCATGTATCTGCTGTCATTATATGCTTTCATTATTATTTTTCTTTTTAATTCTTTTCCTTTGTCATCGTCACTTGACACTATATTATTGAATTTTTTACCGTTGAAAATTTATGTTGATCTTTTTTATGTTATTTTCATCAACCAACGTGGAGATGGATGATTTTTTTTGTTTAATTATATTTATGTTACATTTTATAATTAATTTATAAGTATTTTAACTTGATTAATGAATTACTCTTAATACTAAAATAAAAAAATACATTCATTTAGGAAAGTAATAAATAAATCAACACTAATGTAATAAAATAATATTTTAATTTGACATATCAGGTGGGGTGTAAAACTATGCAGGATGTCAAATTGCCATATTAGCCATCAAATTTAAATTTGATGTTTGGTATTTGACATCTCCCTTGGCTAGGGTGTTTTTGATTGTTGAGGGTGTTTAAAATAAGAGATTTTCTATTTAAACCCCACACTTCTCTTAGTTCACCCCATGTTCTAAGTTCACCCCATCTTTTAATTTAAATTTTCACAAGTTCTAAGAAAACCCCACTATCTTCCCAAACTACCCTTAAATACACCCCAAACTGAAAAAATAAGAAATAAAATAGATTTTCTATTTAAACCCAACAATGTTCTTTGTTCCTAGCAAAAAAAAACACAAACAAATGGAACCCCAAACTCGAAATTTAACACTTTCTAGAGAAAGAGAACAACTTTACCTCTCTCCAAGTAGAGAAGTTTGTAGAGGAGTTTGTAGAAGAGTTTGTCCTGATCTGATCCAATTTATACTTTACCTCTATCCTAATCCAATTTAAATAGGATGTAGAGGGGTTTGTATTTTTCTAAAACTTAATATGAAGAGTGATTGGGTGTGTGGGGTGTGTGTATAGATGTACTAGGGTTAATTATTAAGTTGGATGACCTTTTTTGTCTTTTTTCACAATAATAAAACTTACAGCTTAATGATTTAAATATTGGGGTAAACAAAAAGAAGTACGGGGTTTAAATAGAAAATCTCTTAAAATAAATAGTACAGCCATGCTGGCTATACGTGTTTTAAAAAATAAATAAATAAATACATAGTATTGCAGCACGGCTATACCCCTTAATTTCTATTTAGGATCCGAGCGGCTAGACTTGTAATGTGAGAAGCTGTAATATATATAATTGCAGTCCCGATCTCTTGGACCACAGGGGTCCAAGAGATTTGTGGTCACTCACCGTTGGATGTAAATTCAACGGTTCACTCACTCTTGCACTCCTTTTAAGAAACTTTTTTGAACCATTGGATTAATATCCAACGGTAGGTGACCACAATTTCTTGGACTCCTGTGGTCCAAGAGATCAGGACTGTCATAGTACATATTAATTATTTATTAATATGAATTTTTCTTAGTTAAATATTTTGTGAAGATTTATATATTATTAAATCTTAAGCCTAGTATGAAATTATCCCTTTAGTTGAAAGATGACACCATTCTTGTTTTCCACGTATAGAGACTTAGAATTGGTTTTAATCAAATCATTAAAACCCTACTGATTGTTGTTCTGATTATCTTATTCCTCAACTCATTAAGAAAAAATTTCATTTCAAAAAATTAATTACGAAATCAGGACCATATTGGGTGTTTTTTAAAAATAAAGATGAAATAAAATTTTAAAAACATCTCAACAAATTCATCCCAAGGAAAAGGTTTCGGATTTTCATTGCTCAGTTCATTCTCGCAACTTTGATTTATACAAGCCTATTTCTGTGGTATCAAGGAGGAAGACATTTCCTCATCAAAACAAAACAAGTACGCCAAAAAGAATGTTCAAATTGTGTTCAAGGAAGCATTGAACCTACAGAAACTGCAATATACAATCGAACCATTTACATCACACAATCTACAACAATTTGGAAGGCACTCTTGTTCACCTTGCAAGCCTGCCATCTCGATGCAGATCCTTCCAGCATATCTCACGACCACATTCCCCACACACAGTAGTGCAACCAATTTTTGTCCCCTGACTTCTGAGGGTTAGCAAATGTGAAAGATTAGTGCATTTCCGCAGCACAGAAATATCCTTCGCTTTCAATTCAGCAAGGCTGCTCATCTCTGGTGCAGATGAGGCCACATTTAGTGCAGCTGGCTTTCGGTCGACTGCAGATTCATTGAGAGGAACTCTCTGCACTTCCTCCCATTCCAATGCTCTCCGGTATACTTCCCAAGCCATGTCTTGCTCCTCCTTTGAGAGCTTTTCCTCTTCATTCTCTTGCAAAAGGGTCTCATGTTCGTGGAAATTGGCAATCCACCTGAAAACGAGGTAGTTCATCCGTAAGAGAGTGAGTGAGGGGGGTAAATATGCCAACAGTGGCCCGCTGTAGCCAGGCAACCAAATCATATACCAATAGATGATGAAAATACTAAGAACATGGAAACATACCTTGGATAGTGCTTGCCAAGTAAACCTTCCATTAGCTTGTCAGAAGAGCAACTTCCTTGAGAAAGAGGCACTTCGTGTTTAGGCAAAATTTCAACTTCACCAGTCATATTTTGGTCCGAGCATCCTTTATCTTGGCCAAGCTCATGGTTCTCATCATCACCGAATTCAAAAAGATGCAACATCTCTTCCTTAGATATTGTCCTATGTACCTGTTGTCTATCAACAACCCTTGCAGCCAGGCCCTCCTTTGTTACCTATTTGCCACATTTCCTTTGTTAAAATTTCATTCACATAATAGAACCATACACCCAGTTTGTTCTCCCATTACCTGACGCTTATAAATTTTTTCTTCCATGGTTCCATGTGCCATCAATCTGTAAGCGAAAACCGGCTTTGTTTGGCCATACCTGAAAACGGAACAAATACATTGTTTAGAATTTGTCACATTGTTCGTCAAAGATTCATGCTTGGTAGAGGAACAATAATCATCAGGCTTACTGTCCCCTGTCCACCAAGGACTTTGATATGATATAACTATGTGTAAGAATTAGAGGGGTGGGACCATCTTGAAGTGGCTTTGTCTGGCACACGCCTAAAGCTTTCGTATTTATTTCCCAAAAAGAAAGAATGAGATAAATCTCCTGCACCCCATCTCCAAATTTAGCCTCTATTACAGTCCACAACGCCATTCATAAAATAGCCACAGTTTGACTTCTGATTTTATACTTCACAAGAAACCAAACCCCAAGGCCTCTAATTGTTGCAGTCAATTCAATACATAGTTTCATAATTGCAGCTACTCATCTCTCTTAAAACCTAAAACCTCAAACAGTCCCTCCAAGTTACAAAGTTCACCAGCTTTTAATGTGATATACCCCCAAAATTACACTATATCAAGGTGCACTTACTAAACAAGCTGAGTTGAGGACTACAAAAGCATAAATGCAAACTCACCTCCAAGCACGGTATATAGCCTGAAGATCGTATGTTGGATTCCAAGAACCATCAACTATGATTACACGATTAGCAGCATGGAGATTTATCCCCAAAGATCCAGCTCTGGTGGAAATCAGAGTGCATTTCACCCTCTTATTTAGGGGATCATTAAAGCGCTCAACCAACTTTTGCCTTTCTGAGCTCTCTGTTCTTCCATCTAGCCTGAAGAGCAATAAAAGAAACAAGTGAAAAAGACATAACTTAAGTAAAAGGAAGTGTCACTTTTATTTAAAGACCATCGTAATTTACATCTATAGCAAAAAAAATGTCAAAATAAGGACAATGGGTAAGGAGTTACGCCCAACTTTCAAGAAAGGCAAGAAAGTGATAATGGACTGGATAAATAAGTGAGAACCTCATGGCTACATGATTTACTAAACAAAAGCAGGCCAAGTTAAAATCTCTCTTTTAAAGTTTTTCATTTCCCACTACCAAAGCAAGAACAAGATACAGAGCACAAGCCAAGCTCTTGGACAAATAGGGAATTCGTTTGATGGATAAAATTACAAACTCAAGAAGCTGACAAGAAAACTAAAGCTGTCGGACAACTGTAAATTGTTTTCAGTAATATGTACCCACCTGTACCAATCTTTTCCTTTCTTCCAAAACTTCCATTTCTTCCCATGTCGAGGTAGTCTTGAAAGGTAAAGTTCTATGAGGTCAAGTGTTGGTATGCTCTGGCTAAACACCAACGCCTTATCGCCCACATCAGAACACATGGCGAGAACGTCAAGCAGCAATACCATTTTGCCACTGTAATCAAGCTCTTTATAATTATTCTCATGAATAAGATCATTCCACCAATCCTGATAAGTGATATATGGTTAGCAATATGCTAAAAAAAAATTAAGAAAACAACAATAACAAACAAAAGTAAGAAATTGTAACTTCTTTTTAGAGACCTGTTTCTGGATTTCAGCACCCTTATGGCAATAAAAGGATGCACCTCACCATATTGACTAATGGAGGCACTTATTTGGGTGAACCTATTCCTCATGAAAGGGGCTTACAACAAGTGACACTTCAGATGGTCGTGTATACTACAGAGCCCAACGCAGAGTTCTATTTATTTTTCCTACTAAAACACTAAGGGCATTGACACATCTCAAATATAGTCAAATAGAAGGGAAATCAAATATTAATGAAGTGCAACATTGCATTTAGTCCATATCCCTACCTTTTGAAAAATGTCATCATCCTTTTTCCCTGGCAAAATATCATTGATCTTCCTCTGCTTCTCTGTAAAGCAAGATATGTTACCATTATTAGATACTGTGAAGGAATTATTTTCAAAAAGATTACATACATGCATCCAAACAAATGAGAAAAAAATAGTCACGCCATGATTTCTTAACATGTCTCAGCCACACTATGCAAGGAAAGGTATGAGAATGTTAATGCTGATGTGAAATTATAGCAGCAGAAGCGTTTTTCACAGTTTGTGTTCTTATTAATTTGCAGTCAGCGGTTCATCAAACTAGCCAAAGCACGACTTGACAAATAAGACAATTTAGACAGGTTGAACAGAAATTTAGTGCACAGCCACATAGATATGGATGTTCCCTGATAGCCAAGCACAACTGTAACGTTGAAGATAACAGACCATTTAAGACTCCTAACCTTGCGGATTTCTACAACCCCGTCATGTGCAAAATCAACTCATATTGAGAGGTTGTAATTGCAGGGAATTGAACTCAAGATCTCCTACTCTGGTACTATGACCAACTTTGTTGGTTTACAGATATTGCCAACTGCTTAACCTTTTATTCTGACACATTAATCATCAGTGTTCATATTTATTACTGAGCTCAACTAGCATCTTGATGTTGAAAGAAGATTTGGGATTTTAGTCTGTCATCTAATGTCAAAATCAATTCATGGCAGTAAAAAAAGACTTCTTATAGGAAAAGAAAGGGGAGAGAATAAAATACCTCCAAAAACCAAACTATCGTCAATGTTTTCATCACTAGAGCTGTCATCTGCAAGAAAATTCTCAATAGCATCTTCGCGTCTCACATAGTCTCTGTCATCTTTTCTTAGTTGCAAGATCCCTGGGTGGTTCCATATCTACTACAGACAAAAGGCTCATATATTACAACATTTTACATGAAGCAAGAAGCATGACAGATTAGGAGTGGATGTTTATCATTGCATAAAATGTCAGTAAAGGCTAACCAAGCGCTTAGGAGTGGATGCTTTAGCATAGGACTGAATGCTTTTGCATGCATGCATGTGTGAGTGCGTGTGTGTGTGTGTGTGTGTGTGTGTGCGTGTGTGTGCGCGTGTGTGTGCATGTTATTGTCTGTAGTATAATGGAACTTTGGGAACCTAACAAAGGTGCTCAATATACCTGAGCTAAGGCCTGGTAGCCAGCGAAAAAACTTCTCTTCCTTATCTTTTCATTGTAAACCTTGTCATTAGCAAATCCATGCACATCAAGAAATCTCTTGTATAATTTCCTCTGTAAGGGAGAGAGCTTAACAGCTATTACAAAAACAGTTTTTGGTGGCAAGTCCTTCTTCGCCACATTCATGTCCATTCTCTGAACAAATCCTTTCAATTGTTCATACAGAATATGAGACCTTTGATTCATGATTTTCACATCATCCACGGTTGAATTAGTATGTTGGCCATTCTCTATGGGATTCTGGAAGCTGCATGTAAGGGGAGGCAGGATTAAGATATGTGGAAAAAACAAAACGAAATTACACAGCAAACAAGTTTTGAGTGAAGAAGTCTTGCCGATTCCTAAACTCATGGCTGCTTCCAAGAAAACCTTCCCTTACAAAATCAACCATCTGTGAACAATTAAAATTTCAAAGGAATCAAGACAGTAGGTAATTTGTAAGAAATAAAACAACGTATAGCTTTCAAGTGAACTCACACAATAATATTCCATGAGATTGTTCTGGAGAGGTGATCCAGTTAATGCTATCCTTCTTTGGCATTTCACTTGTTTCAAGGCTTGGGTTACATCAGCCCTGGTATTCTTAATAACATGGGCCTCATCACAAACAAGTATATCAGGTCCATCCTGACAGTTGGAAATGTAACAATAAGTCACAAGCTTTGCAAACAACATTGTTTTCATTGATAAATGCAGGGGACAATATGAAATGGAAAAATCTAAAAAGAATCAGATAAAAGATGCATGCTATGTTTTGAGAACATGAAAACTAAACAAGGGTAAGTAAAAAGTCTGCCACTAAATATATGGTACCACGATGGAGCTTATTACTGAATAGGCTGTCAGAAGCAATTGAAAGGGACAGACTACAAGTTACTGTTAATAATCAATACAGAATTGGATGCATGAAATTAATGACACTTTTAGAGGTTAACAATTAAAATCAACCTACCTGCAAGGCATCACAAATTTCTCGAGCCATGTGTCGATCCTTCACATGCTTTCCAAGGGATAAGTTCCTAAAAGCAGAGTAGCCAATTAAAAAAACACCACCCTTAGCTCTCCACTTTGCAAGAACCTCTGCTCTTCTTTCCCTGGCACACAAAGAGGTATCGTCAGCAACCAACAATATCAAGTAACAAAGACAGACCTAATAGACTTTAATTCATGAAAAGGTAAAATGCAACAGTGAAGCAAAATGACTGATGGAAATGGAATGAAACAATATAGAAATGTTAACTAAACCTTGACACATCTTCTAGCATGAAAACGCGAAGAGGCTTTAGCTCTGAAGGTCTCCATTTCATGAACTCGTGCCGCCAATTATGTAGCACATTCACAGGAGTGACTATAAGTGCAGTTTTCAATCCCAAATCAATACTTCTCATTGCAGTGTACAGAAAAGCTATGACCTGTGAAAGCCATTTGACAAATTATGCAGAGTATATCAATCAACCGCTTAAAAATATATGCCCTACAAAGAAAATATGAGCCACCTCCTTGCATTCTGCAAGATCAGCTATTCTACCAGGCTACAGGGTCATTGCTACATGCACCGACACCTATTTCAATCTAAAGAAATGCCCACAGTCATTGGGAAGAGCGTGTAACAGACAGAACATAATACCTGAAAAGTTTTACCAAGGCCCATCATGTGAGCTAGAATGCATCCAAGACCTTTATCCCCAGCCTTCACTTTTCTGACTGACTGTATGATATTCTCCCACATAAATCTTACCCCCGTAATCTGTGATAAGACATCAGATTGTAACAAGGACAATATAAAAGATAAACAGCAAGTCATAAAAAGTTAATGACACATAAAACAGAGTTCCCAGATGAATTTTACTGCAAACCAGAATCAAGGAGTTCATATAAAGATAAATATGTGAAACAATAATAGGTCTAGCAGGTCATGGCAATAAAGAAATTCAAGTGAAAAAGTAAGACATGGAACTCTTTTTCAACTGTCCAGGCATGGCACTCCCCTCACCCTTAACCCATTTTTGCCTCGTCCTGATCACAGGCTTCAACACTTTGAACCCATTATTTTATTATATGTGAGAACCAATATGGAAATCTGATCACACATTAAGACTGGAACAGAGGAATATACTATCAGCATTCAGGCACTAGGCAGACAATATACAGCTACTTCCTCAACATCTGAAAATTAACAGATAACAGACTGCCATTAATCAGCATGGCATGTCCTGTCCCAGTCAAAGCTTTCATTTTGAACAGAAATCCCAATGGATCTGAATTGAGCTAGTGCATTCAATTAAAAACTGAAATAAACAAGTATATATATATATATATATATATATACATGCACGTGTAACTAATTTCTTAACCAGGCTAAATTATGCACAGGCTTATGATAAGAATATAGAAGATTTGGCAGGCTGCAGGAAAGCTAAAACCATGACGTTGAACAATAATGTCCCCAGAATGTATTATTTCAAAGAAACAATGTGAAAGAAATGGAAAGCATTCATATCAGTCCCAGCTTTGTCAAAATGTCTAAAAGGGAATTCGCAGAAGAAAAGCCTCAAAAGAAAAATAGTTAACAGATTAGGAAAAACCTGATGTGTCTTCAGTTTTGCTGAGATGCTTGGAGGGATCCTGACAGCTTCTTCACCTTTCTCTCTCACAACATTCACTATATATCCAGCTGATGCATCACCCAGCACTTCAGCATTGGCACCTTCGGGTAAATTCCCATTACAGCTTGCAGAGCTCTTCATCTTAGATTTGGCCGAAAATTGTACTTGCAAAGACTTTAAGCGTTCCTGACGTTCCTACAGAAGATAGGTTCATGAAATAATTTTCGGTACCAAAAGAATACAAAATCAGCATAAGATGGTACCTTTTCAATTGCAATTTTTCTTTTGGTCTCTTCTCCTAATTCAGTATCATCAATGATCCTCCGAATTCTCTTCTTTCTCTTCCTCTTAGAACTGAACAAAGTCCAAATATGTTCAGAAACACAGTAAGTACAACAAAAATACCTAATGCTCAAGAACAAATCTCAACACTTGTTTAGAGTTTAAAATGCTAACAAACATAAACTATAGCATGCTTCAGCAATGGAGAGAGAGAGAGAGAGAGAGGAGAAGAATAATTCACTTAGAAATCAGCATAATAAATACCATTATACCTGATAGCAACATCTAGTTCTGCATCTGAATTATCTGAATCACTATCAGAGCTAGAAACTACCATATCTCCAGAACCTATTGATTTCTCTAATTGTAACATCAATGTCTGTATAAGACTTGGGCAACAGAAACAACATCGCCAGCCACAGGTCTGGGCCTCGGATAAGCATTCCTCTCCAATATTCCTTTTTATACAAGTCGTACAAAACAATGTCTTGCAGGATTTACAACTTACAAGGTCCTTGCTTTGCCCACACCACCCACAATAGCACTCACAGCAATCAGGATCCTGCACACCTTCTTAGGTCACTAAAAGATCTAGCATTTACTTAAAATAAATATATAAAATTATAAGCATTAAACGGTTTAGAAAGATTATTAACAATATAAAATCTTAACAAGAGCTAGCTTTCCTTTCTCTTTTTTCATTACATATGACAGCCAAAAGTGATGAGAAAGTTAAAGGTCTTTCTATTGAGGATATAGATTCATTAGAAACTATAATATCAGTTTCCTTCCAGTAATCAGTTTAATACATTCTATCACCTGCATGATCATGAAAAAGTTATTCAAAATGTCCAAATATAGATTACAGAAAGCATAAAAGTTACTCATGCCCATACCTTCACATGCATCTTTTCGTCCAATAAGCATCTGCAATCTGTACAAATAATCACCTTCAGAAGTGGATGTGAGCGCACTTCGACAGCAAGTTTATTACAAGCAGTGCAGTAGACCTTCTTATTCAGACTATGTGAAGGAAGACCACCAGTGGCAGATATGCAGATACTCGCGTCCACATTGGACTGGTCCTCAGATTTTATCAAATTGCAGTCTGAAATATCTTTCAGTGGAGCGTCATCATCGCTATCTATTATAACGGTTCGACCCCTCTTATTATCAATGTTTAGTTCCTCATCCTCATTCAGACGCTTGGAGCCTCTTGATTCACTAGAATCAGGCACCGGAGAAGAACCATTACTCGTTATGCTTTCTTGGTCGACATTATTAGAGGTTTCCAAATCTTCAAGCACAGCAGACTTCATATTTTGGCATCCCTCATCATCATTGTTAGAAAAAATTTCACCATGTTCATCAATTTTACCATTTGAGATACAGGTAGCAGAGTCTAGCATAGACGGAGACTGGGCCATGTTGCTTTCTATCACCCGATCAACTGGGCAAACTTCCTTCCTGCCAACATCCTGATTTGATAGCAGGAAAGAATGAATGTTAAATGAATGCCTAAATGCAGGTCATACCCATGTCCTGATCAACTAGGCAAACTTCTTTCCTTCTAACATCCTAATTCAGTAACAGGAAAAAAGAAATAATGAATGTTAAATGTATGCTTATGCAGGACAACTCCACATCTTGTACAGAAAAAGCCCTAATGAACTTGGTGCTATAAAAGGGAAAGAAAAACAAGAGCACAATAACCCTAAAATCACATCCAAAATCATCAATGGGACTTCTATTTTTGTTCCCTTTTTCATATAAAAGTAAGTTTAGTATAATATGGCAGTCAATTTTCTCTTATTAGTAATTCTCAACAACAAATTCAAACGAAAATTACAAGATTCTGGGAATGAAAAACCATAGGATGTCACTAAATAGAGTTGATAAGAATAACAATTGTACTGACGACATATAATGACTGCTGGAATCTGGCTAGGATAACCAACTAAATGATTGCAGCACTAAGCACCATAACTTGTCTCAAACTGTACATTAGCAATATGAATAGAACTTTAAAAAGTTATCTAAACTGCAACTCAAAATTCCAGAATCGAGAAAGAGGGAAAACACAAGCACAATATAACCTGTTTACGTCTCTTTTGATGTCTCTTCCGTTTCAAATGAATTTGAAGCTTCTGATCAACATATGCATCATCCTCTTCTTTGACCTTGCAATGGATAAGTACATAAACAATATCAACTTAATTAAAGCTCGACCAGCTGTTATCAAGAACATTTGCAGTTAATGAAGGGAAAAATGTCGATGTTATAAATCTAAAAGCAGCAGGAGTTATCTATCTACTGATGAAAAAGGTAAAGCAAACGTATCCACATATGCCTACTCTAACCAAGTTGGTAAGCGACAGAGAGACCGCCATCAAAGATTAAAAGAGATGATAAGACATACATTCAATCAAATACCAGTTAACTAAAATGTAAGTCAAAAAGGTAAGACTGCACAATTCTTGGTGTAGGAAACCAAATATACATGTAGCCAAATTGTTTATGTGTATATGCGTGTTTGTGTGTAAAAATTGATCTTTGAATAACAAATAACAACAAGGATGATGTTAACAGCAAGAACATCAACTATTGGATGGCACAAACATACCTTCCTATAATTTTTCTTTTGTTCTTCAGACAGATCCAGTTCTCTTTCATTTGCAATGGCAGCTGCAACAAATGGATCACTAGAATTGCCATCAATATCATCAATCTCCTCCACCTGGCAAAAATATTCTCAAAAACTCAATGAAAGTATTCACTAAGCCAAAATAGAGCACGTGTTGCAGTGAGTAGCTTCTAATTGGAAAAAAATGGCAGTAAAAGTAACTACCCTTAACCTCCAATGATGCTGAAACCCATAAGGGTGCCCAAAACCAAACCCTCACCCCAACATATAAGAAGCTACAGATCTAAATTACAATAGGAAACCTCCATGCATGATCATTCAAAAAGAGGGGAAAAGGAAAGCAGAACAAGCACAGCACCTACAAACAATGGCTGTCATGTTGAGTGTTATGATAAAACTACATGAAATAGAGCCTCCTTTACCTAATATGATTCCTTCTCTTTTGCTCTTTTCCTTTTCTTATAACTTATTTTCCAGATTAGCTTTGGGTAGCGAGCAGAAATTCCATAATTATGTTAATGAAAAAGTTAGGCACCTCATTCACACCAGGGAATTTGAGTCCCATCTCAGCAGCTTGTTGTGGCGTACTGGCCAAGTAAACAGAAGCCCAGTGCTTACTGCCAAATGAAGCACCATCCCCAGTTGCACCATCAGAAAATAGTTTGTTGAGAGAACACCAATCAACTTCAGCAGTCACAGCATCCTTGTTTCCATCTATGGTTAGCTTTTTCTGCAGAAATCCACTAGCGCCATCTTCCAATAGTTTACCATGTCGCCTAAGTTCACAAGTGCAAGTTTATGTACCATCAACTCTATACCTTGCAGAATCAACAAAGCTAAAAATGTAGAACTGTACCTTCTTACAGGTCTGTGGGCTTGGAGATACCTCTCTGCATCGGTCCTTAACTCAGTAAATTCTCCAGTCACTTGAGATCCTACCCAGTGTATCCGTCTTTTCCAAGCTTCAGTGCAGCAACCATTAGGAGCCTGACTTTCAATGCACTTATAAAGGCTTGGTAGCTCAATGCCAGCCCCATCAAGTTGTTCCTTTCATGGAATTTAAAATAGGTAGACGTAATTTCAGGTTCCATATTTCATAAATTAAGGAAGCATCAATCCATTTCAAATTAAAAGGTTTATCGCGATTATTGGTAAGGGGCATACAAAAATAGACATTTGCAAAAAGCTTCATAAACAACTTTAGTTAATATCCCATGAAGTTAGAACCTCTAAATTTTCTTTAGCAAACCCAAAATATAAACAAAGCTTTTCAAATGGTACATGCTGTCACCCTCTACCCACTATACCCTATAAGTTATAATCATAGAAAAACAATGAGACAAGAGTCATGGCATGCAGAGAGCAATATGAAATCCAGAAAAAATGGAAAAGAGGAAATGATACTTTCTTCAAAGTGAGTCGACACAGAAATCAAAATTGAGGGAAGGCTAGCTGAAATTATATCCCACTTGTCTAAGTAACAAGAAGAGGCAAATCCTTCTTTCTCCGTGGGTTTTTATTTTCTGTATAAATTTATAGCATCAAAGTAGATGCAAGCTCTACAAATGTATTAGGAACCAAAGATTTACTCAGAATTGAAGAAAGAAGCAGACCAACAAATGAGCACTCTCAGTCTCGAGGTCATCAAGCTCAGCTTGCCACTCTTCCATTAAAATAGTCATTTCATCTGCAACAGCTGTTTCCAGCTATAGACAAGTGGAAATATATAAGTTATTGGTAAAGACAATCTAGTCCACAGGGATGAATTTTGAAGGAAGAAACTAACATCATCCTCATGAAGAGTTTGTGCCAACTCCTCTCTAACTTCACTCTCCACTTTGGCAAGAGACTCTTTTTCAAGTGCTTCTTGAGCTTCCGCAGCCTAAATTGGGCATCAAATAAAAAACCAATAAATTACGCAGCATGGCCATAAAAACTATATACGTATATCTGTGTGCATAGTTGAAATACTGTTAAAAAAAGAACAGAAAACATTGATACCTTACTCTCAACCTCCAAAAACTCAGCAATAAGCTCCTCAATTTCTTTATCAGATAAAGGTTCCTGCATAACAAAGATAAGAACATCATATATTTAAAACAGAAAGGAAAAATGCTTCATATTCCAGCCCCAAAAAAAAAAAAAAAAAAAAAAAAAAATGAAAATCTTAAGCGTGATGTTTCAAAGTCTTTTAGTCAACGATTATATGCTCTTACATTGTGAGTTCCTTGGACTTTGTTGTATCCATATGATGCAATTTGTCGTCTTGTCCGGACGTCGAAACTTCATCAACTTCTGAGTCATCTATAAAAGAATCGCTATCACTGCCATTAGAAGCACTATCAATATCCTCCACTTGCTCGTGGCTTTCCTCCACTTGCTTGTGGCTTTCCTCCATTACCTGCCCAACAATACCAATGCACATCAAAATGACAAGTAAGCCTTAAAATCAGTACCTAAAATGTCTCAAACAATGAACAGAGCATTTCATTCAATAGTAACAAACTCCAATTTCCTGTGACCCTAAACCCCCAAAAAAATGCTTTGATATGGTATACTCCAACTAGTAATTGAGGATCACAGAATCTCCTACAGTCCAAGCAAAATGGCTTTAGAAGTTCATGTGAAAGCTTCATCCGTACGATTTTCTCAAATTCAGTCCCTCTGTATGATAAATGGCTAATAAGAATCTAAGCTCGCTATTCGAGTAAGAGCAGACATAGGACAGAATTCAAAGTTTTCGAAATGATTTTGGTTAAATAAATTAAGCCCACATTTCAAGTTACAATAATAATAATACCTAGATTTTCAATATGGGCAAACCAAAACAAAATTACTATATCCGCAAATAGAAAAATAATCAAAGCTTCACGCTATTTCGAGCACGCCGCGTAACCGCAGCAATACTTGGTATTCTCGACCGATACGGTGTCGTTTCTACAACACTCTGCAAAGCCTAAGAAGAAGGAGGAGGGGGAGGAAGAGAAGGGAAACAGAAGCGACTTACCAGTATAGGGGGAAGGCACGTGGCTACGTGAGGTGAGAAAATGCAGAGCCTTTGTCTTTGCTCTTCCTTCTGCCTCTCTCTCTGTGTCTCTCTTCTGGGCCCGTGTAGTATATATGCTGTTTGAACTTGTTTGAATTGAATGAGGAAATGGTTGATTTCCCGAAAAGCAAAAATACAAAATGAGGCAACGAGCTCGAGAAGCCGGGTGGCTACATACACCCCTACTTGGGTATTTCCTTTTTTGTTTTGGTCACCCAATTTTCTGTAATTTCATGATCTAGGGTTTTTGGTTTTGTTATTTCAACGGATGATTCATGCAAATTTATTAATAGGGCCGTCACGTCATAATAGGAAAATGAGGATTGATTGGTTAATTTGCAATAGAATGTAAATTATTATTATTTACATTAGTGGAAAGACAATTTCCATATGTGTTTAATAGGTTACACTAATTTAGTTATATTATTTGACATTTGTGATTTGGAAGTTTACTACGAGGATGAGATAAATTGGTTCATCACTCCATTCTTTCAATACATTTTGGGCTAATTATAGAAAACTAAAGTATTTAGCATTTATATCTTTAACGGTAAATACCACTCGCTGCAAGTATTTACGAAGCTTATATTTCAAATTATTTCATTTGAGGGACACTCTTTAGGGTACCTTACTTTCTTTTTTTTCCAACGATCCAAACACTCTATTTTTCAAGTATTCATTCACATATTATCCTTATAAAAAATCAGACAAATTGAAAATCATTAAGACATCTAATTGAGACCCACAAAATCAATGAACATGATGCTTTAAGAAAGTACTTAAATTTCAATAATTTAATTGAATTGTCAAATGATATCGGATTCAAGTGATTTTTTTGTAAAGATGATCTTTAAATGAATACCTACAAAATAGATAGTTTGAATGAGTGAAATACAAGGCGGAATGGGTCCTAGAAAGATGTATCTCAAATAAGCTTATTTGAAGGATCCCTCAATGGAAGCGCTCTATATATATGGCGTCCATATGTGGATGCATATGTTGGTATCAAAATAACAAGTGTATTGACTACACTTAAATCTATTGTGTATAGTTGAACAAACTCGTAACATAACGAAACCGCTCTTTAGTAAATAAATAAAAACTCTAAGTTATATTTGAATGATATGTTTTCTTTTTTAAGTGCTCCAAATTCAGTTGTTGTTGTGTTAAATTTTTACTATTCCAGATGATTAAATAACCCTAGATAAATCGTTTGTTTCTTATATTCTATAAACATATGTTACATATACGTTAGATTTGCTCTACTTTTTACACACCAGAGGAAGAGAGATTTTCACTTCTTTTTGTTTTATTTTTGTACTGAATAATATATCATTCATTGATAAAGCCCGTGGCCTGGGCCTGGGCCTGGACCTGGACCTCTAACATGCGCACCCGAGTCCGTGACTTTAAAACGTTTTTATAAATAAATAAACTTTGTTTTGTAATAATCAATTGAATTTAGTCATCTTCTTTCTTTGACCAAGACTTGACGAACAAGATAAAAATGAACCCCAAACACAAAGCTGCTGCTCCTCCCACAACAATTGCCACCGATTTCCCATTGCTTCCATTTCTGTCTCTTCTTTTTTCTGTTATTTAAAAATATGTATATATACCTCACATTAGCAAACTGAATGATATTCAAGGAAAAGTCATGAAAAGTCATGAACATAATTTTGAAAAATTGAATAAAATCAACCTCATATTGACAAGTTTGATAACACAACCCATCTAAAAAAATAAAACATTTCCCATAAAGAAAATGGTATAATTCTGAAACCCATAAAGAACTAATTCTGAAATTTAATTACCAGTATGTTATGTTGATAAAGAACGGAAGTATCTAGATCAGAACTAATTCTGAAATTTAATTACCGGTATGTTATGTTGATAAAGAACGGAAGTATCTAGATCAGAACTAATTCTGAAATTTAATTACTGGTATGTTATGTTGATAAAGAACGGAAGTACCTGGATGTGGGTGGTCAGGTATTTCATCTGGATGGTAAGTATAGCTCAAGAAGCACTCTTCCAAATAAATTTGACCTGAAAGAGCAGCACCGCATTCTGCTTCAGCAATTTGAACTGCACTGCTTACACACTCTCCACATTCACAGCCCCCTAAGCCCCCCACACACTGTGCCATTACTTGTACTGCTTCATAGCTCGTTTTGTAGAACCCATCACCATTCATCACAATACCACTTTCCAGAGCTGCAAATGCTGCGTCTCTCATCTCCTCGAACCCACCAGCGAACCCATTTGATAATTCCCCACAGGTCTTATGCATTAATTTATGATTTGAAGACTCTGAATCGAACCCAACGAGCTTATAATGCATGTAGCAACCATGTAGCTGAACCCGAGCCGATACAGACTCTCTACATAAGGTGTTTGATAAATCAGGTAGAGTGGAAACGCAGCTCTGACACTCTTCGTTGCTGATGTCCTGTATGCATTGGAAGAGACCGGAAATGCCCGTCTCGTCATCGTCACCGGTGGCTTGGGTGTGTTTGAAGAACTTTGATTGGGAGGAGTGTGCAATTAGTTCTTGGAAAAGGGATGAAAGGGTTTGTTGTGTTGGAGGAGCAGTGAATGTCTGATTTGCGCATTGGTTGTATACCAAGGTATTGTAGTCAGAATTAATTGGGTTTGCAGATGATAGTAGTAGCAATAGTAGTGCTGCAAAACAGAGAGAGAATGGTTTCAAGGTTAAATCCATTTGGGGTTTGAAGACAATGCAATGTGGTTCCAGATAAAAGAGAGAAGATTGCAGTTTTCTCTCAATCTGTGGTTTTTGCTTGTGTTTTGGGGTTTGTTCTTCTTTTTCCTGCCCACTTGTATCTAACTTTGGTGGGAACTTGTGAGTTTTCTTCACCAGAATAACAGGGTTACAATAACTTACAACAACTGCTTTAGAAATCAGCTACCAAAAGAAAAACAGGGCAATCAACGTTTTCGTGTAATTAGGTATCGTCCTGTTTTGGAATTATACAGGTTGCGTGCGTACGTAGGTAGCATAAACAGAGGTTTGCTTTGGTTTAGAGAGAACCATAAATTAATTGTATTAAGCACAACAGTTTTTCTCACACAATTATTTATAATTAACAACCTAATAATCATATATATATATATATATATATATATATATATATATATATATATATATATATATATATATATATATATATATATATATATATATATATATATATATATATATATATATATATATATATATATATATATATATATATATATATATATATATATATATATATATATATATATATATATATATATATATATATATATATATATATATATATATATATATATATATATATATATATATATAGTTTTATAATTATAGGTTATGTTAAGAAAATTACGGTTTTAAAACCGTTGATGCTTAACAAACTTCCCTAACAACACGCCTTCAATTAAAAGCCTCTCGTCTCCACACACACACACAAACCATTCCTCACTGCAGCACATCCCTCTCTTCCTACTACTCATACGTTCGTCTCCGGCGGCCGGTCACGACTGTCGGCCGGTCAGTCGTTGTCGTTTGACCACGTACGTTCGTCCCGGTGCCTAATCCTCTTCATAAAAATAATTAATCAGTATTATTATATCCAAACAGCCTGCCATTCGCAATATTTTAATTAATTGCTCGCAGCATTTACTTTCTTAATATAATTGTTATTGTGATTGCTGCAGCAATTAATTACAAATCATGCCACGACCACCATTAGCCTCGTCGTTCCAGCTCCTGGAGATCAATCTGATTTCGGCGCAAGATCTTTACCCGGCGTCCAAATCCATGCGGACGTTCGCCGTCGCGTGGGTGAACCCGAAGCGCAAGCTGACGACACGTGTCGACCAGAACGGCCACACCAACCCGACGTGGAACGAGAAGTTCGTCTTCCGAGTCGACGACGACTTCCTCAAGGACGACACATCGAAGATCATGATCGAGATCTACGCCTCCGCGTGGCTCCGCGACGTGCTGATCGGGACGGCTGCCGTGGTGGTGAACAATCTTCAGAACAAGTCCAAGATGCGCTTCATGGCGATCCAGCTGCGCCGCCCCTCCGGCCGCCCGCAGGGGATTCTCAACATCGGCCTCGGCCTCCTCGACAACACCATGCGCAGCATGCCGCTCTACAGCGAGCTCAGCTCCTCTGCCGTCGGGTATTGGGATTTGATCGAAGGAAAGGGGGCAAATCAAAAGAACCACGACCCCAACTACAAGGATCAAGACAAATTCATAATCTTCCAACGATCCCAGAGCGATCGAACGGGTAGCGATTACGGGTTCTCGAAAAGCCGGCCGGCGAGCTCCATCTGCGACGGGCTCTCCAAAAGCAGGGCCTCGAGCTCCATTTGCAATGCCGCTACAGGGGGCTTCTCAAAAACTACTAAACCTCAAGGTTCATTTTGCAATAGCTCGATTGTGAACGGTTCTGAGCTAAGCTCTGCGCAGAAAGGGGGGAAGGGTGGGTCCATTTGCTCTGACGTGGGGCCCTCGCCATCCGTGGTGGCGGCCGCCATAGCCAAGGGGATATATCCACTTGGCCATGGCGGAGGCAATGTGGTGCGCCACGCGGCAAAAGGTGATGCACGGAACTCGTTGTTGGATGAATGGACGGACCAGGATAGCGTGGAGGGGTTAAAGACAAAGATCGAAAGGTGGCGGACAGAGCTGCCCCCAGTGTACGACTGCAAGAACAAGAACAATAACAATACTAGTCAACATCCGAAGTTGCTCCAGTCGTCTCACCACGGCACCAACCGACCGCCGAAGAGTCGCCGGAGCCGTAGCAGCGGCAAAAGTTTGTTTTCTTGCTTTGCATTAGGTTGCGAGCTTTCAATTTCTTGTGGTGGCGGAGGTAAGAAGCCTAAGAAGAAGAGTAGTGGCAAGGTTCATCTCGGCACATCTGATATGACTTTCGACGACTCCTCATACTTAGGGTAGACAGTCAAAACGACATCTTATTTCTTTCTTCCTTCTTTTTTTTCTGGTGAACGACATTGATTTTATTGACGTTGATGTTCATCACATCTTTTGCAAAGCCGCAAAGGTTTTGTTTGTTATACATATTTACTTAAATAAATAGGTTGGGTTTTGATGTTATTTTACCGTCAAAACTGAGGTGAGATGTGATTAGCGGCCCAAAGATGATGCACAGATAGTTATATTGGAGCTGTCAAGACCGAGTATGAACATTATTGGGTCGCTTGGAATTGGAATTGGATGGAGAATACTGGGGCGTAGAATTAGAGGAATAGAAAGAAGAGGTGTGTGATATCGGTTAGAGGCTAAGAGCGTCCTCTCTCTCCCTCCCCTTGTGTTTATTATTTTCTTATTTTATCTTTGATTTTGTTTTTGCTTTTTTTATTTAATTGCCATTGGGAGATTGAAAAGGATGAGAGGCATTAACCTTTCAATTGCTGAATGTAATTTTTTTATTTTTGGTCTCATTTCTCTTTGATGGGATTCTAAGTGAATGCAACTTATATGTAACTTGTGTTTAGTTCAAGATAATATTTGTTTAAACAATGATATCAAGCAAGGCTCGTTTTCCATTTATTAATCATTCATGATTCAAATATTGTATTGTTTCAATAATAATATAATATTGTATTGTTAATTTTTAGAATTAATATATATAAAGATGTTATTGGCATTAGAACAATGCTAGCTACATTTTCCTTTTGCCTTTCCATTCTTGTTTTCCTCATTCAATTTTGTCTAAGACTATTCCACTCACACATAAATCTATGTATTCAATGCAAATTACTAATATTTTTCATGTAAATATAATAAAAGTTTTGAACCACATTAAATACATATATTTATGAGTGAGTTAAACACACATTGAACAAACTGAATAAGGGATGCAAGAGGAGAATGTATCTAGCATTCGTCATAACTTTTTTGGAGACTCTAACTCGTAATTACTATAACACTACCCTCTTTCATGACAAAAATTTACTTGTAACCACGATAACACTATTTTGCTATTCCCAACCAATAATATAATGACATGTGAAAAAGTTATCCTACATGTCATTGCATTATTAGTCGAAGATAGCAAAAAATGGTATCCCTATTGTATTGTATGAGAGTTTCTCTCCTCTTTCAGGATCGTTGCACTTACTTGGGGTACACAAGTATTTCAATAATCTTATAAATTCACATAATTATTAGCTTCTTGGTTCTTAATTGTTGGTTGGTCTATGGAAATGCATTGCACTTGCTCTAGCCCATATAACATTCTTCCAAATGCTATATTTTTCGCACTTGATTGTTGGAAACCCTCTACATCTTAGGGCCAGATAATTTATTCATTGCAGTTGCTCACATCTAGACAAGTACTTCATTAATCTTCCAAACTCTTCCTCAAGCTAAGATTTGACCACTTATATTTATTCTCCATCAACCTTGTCGAGATTTGTTATTTTGTTTTATTCTCACTAATTTGACACCTGATTTACTTTCCTTTGTCTCTTTATACTTAATTTGTCCACTTAGAACATCTACAATGGGCTCCCTAAACCATATTTTTAGATAAATTTTAGGAAAAAATTGGAAAAATACAACTCCAACTATGCTCTCTATCCAGCTCATAAAATAAGGAGACCTCTAGGAGCTCCTAAATATGAGGAGAGAGAAAGGACTCCTAGTGGCTCCCTATAATTTAATGCATAATTTATTAAGGAGTATGATTGGAGTTCAAAATTTTGAGAGAGCTCCTAAAATAACTTTTGTGTGTTTTTAGCTAAATTTTAACTAAAAAATAGAGAGTTTGATTGTAGATACGCTTATGGTTATTCACATTGCTCCTTGTCGAGATATGCCACTTTGTTTTATTCTCTCTAATTTTGACACATGATTTTCTTATAATTTTCAATAGTCTATCTACATTGAGTGCGTTGAAATTTTAATAAAAATTTTGAAAATTTCACAATACAATACTAATGCAAAATGCTTAAAAGTCATTGAACATGTTTATACAGTGTTAAAAAATACAAGACCAAGATTTGAAGGTTTTAGTTTTTTAGTTTTTGCTTAAAGCATCGTTCCTAAAATTTAATAGTATTATGGATAATAATAATAATTTTTTATAAAAAAAGGTTTTTTTTTATATAGTATAAGCGGTAGTTTAAATTACAAGATAGGAGAATTTCTCTCACACACACAATCATGGGCCGTGGGAATTCAAACCTGAGACTTATGATCTTCAAATCAAGGCCCTTTTCTATTGGGCCAGACCCGTTGCATAATAAGAGTATTTAAACACCAAATTTAACAACGGGTTCCATTTGTCCAAAAACGAAAAGGACTTCCAACTCCGTAAGTAGCAGCAAAAGGCTAGCAAGCACTACTTGCTCGGGGTCGGGGCTCTCTCTATGTAAACGTGGGCCCTAAACCCCCCAACTAATTCAAAAGGACCACACACCACGCCACGCCACGCCGCCGTTATTAGCACTATTATTTTCTATCAGAAGAACTCAGGAGAAATGCAGAGGAGACGGGACCCCCCAGACTATTTCTCAGCGCTGTTTTCCACCATGGCAGATGTAGCCCTCTTTTAACTCATAAAAAGAATACAAATACAGAAGAGAAGAGGAGAAGGTAAATAACATTTCTCTTTTACATTAAATTTCAAGTGTTAATTTTTTATTTAGAACCTCTCTCTGAGAAACTCTAAAATATTGTTAACAGTGTCACAAGCTGAAAAGTAGAGGTGCTTATTTTATTTTTAAAGCTTGCATTTTTGAATTGAAAATTTGTTTACTGTTAGACCTAAAAGATTAAGGTTTTGCTTCTACTTGTCGTTTGGTGCGTCGGTGTATTCTTCGTGGCTAACGAGCAAACTTCGGTGTTTCTATTCTCCCACATTTCTCAGCGACCCAAGCGGAGCTTTTTGTTAGTGTGGGTTTAACCCGCTCGTAATTGCTATTTGGTTTGTCTATTGCGTGGAAAACCTGAAGGAAAAAACTTGGGATTTCCAACATTTTCTCGGCAGCCAAACAGAACCATTCATGGCAAAGAACGAAAAAAATAATAATAAAATGCTCCGTCCCCTATGTCCGTATTTTAATAATATTGATTGTTTTTAGTACGGTGGTTGATCAGAATATTATATTTATACACTGGCTAACAGAGTCTCGTGTTGCTGTCATGATATTATTGTGGGTGAGGTTTCAACTTGTATTGTTTATTTACTATTTGATTTTTGTGGGAAATATTTGTTGGGTGTGCTCTTTTGTTATTTTTATTTTTATTTTCTGTTTTTCTGGTCGACAAACTAATGCTAGAATTTGGAGTTGTCATATTCGGCACGATTCGAACCGATACGAAGGTAGTGAATTTGTGTTGAACATTACTTGACACGAACACAAATATAACATGACCCGCTCACACAAATCAGATTAGTGTCAAAGATGAACAATCTAATTTTGACATGATAAACTCCTTGAATTCCTACCGTATAAAAAATGATTAGTTTCTCCTATTTCTTAACATGTATTTTATGAGTCCTTTGGTAGTTTGATCAAGATGATTTGTCATTTTATAAACAGTACTTGTATTTATTGAACAATGAAGTATTGCAGGACAAAGGAAGCGAGATTAGTAAGGCATCCAAACTATTGTTCAAGTAAAAAGTTCATGGGCTGTGTGCTTTTGAGTTTTATCTAACATGCCCCGCGAATTGGTGCAGGTGCTGTGTGGAACATAAAGAACAAGAGGCCGCTGAATTAGTATCAGATTAAGTGTTATTCAACTTTTGCATCGGCCATGACTAACAACCCGAGAGTTTTGAAAGCCTTTAAGGCGACGAGGGCCTTGGGAATTCCTGATAGATTGGTCAAACCAGTTCTGAAGAATTTGCTGGCTGTGTATGATAAAAATTGGGAGCTTATTGAAGAAGACAACTACAGGACTCTTGTGGATGCATATTTTGAGTCTCAGGACAATAAGGTATTTCAATTTTTTTTATTACTTTATTAATTTATGCCTTTGTTGGGAACTGGACGATTAATATATATACTAATGACAGTTGTTAAAATTGGGAACAATGAGACTTAAAAAACTTAAGCTATCAAGAAATGTGTTATTAATGTATATCTACTTAAATTCCTCTTCTTGTTTAACTTATGGTTACACGTAAAGAAGCGAAGAATAGGTTCAAGTGCATTCTATTTCTTGTAAATTAAGACATTTGGCAATGGAGATGGAAGATTGGAGGATCGGAGAACCTTTTATAATTATAACTTTGATGTTAGATCACATTGAATTTAAAAGCTTAAATTGTTAGAAAATGAATTAAACAAAAATGTCAATTCAATTGTAGTTGATTTTAAAAATTCACGTTGAAAACCAACCTCCCTCTGTTTTTGGTGGGACATGCGAGTTGCTTACAAGTTACATCATATATTTACTGGACATATGAGTTGTCTCGTCACATATGATGTCTAACTCCAGTGGACCAAGTGCACAGCTAGTGTAACTATCTTTTAGCTTGTATACTAGTCGCAATAAAATATGCAATTGTTGAGGTTGCCTTTTACCCTATTTTTCTTTTTTCTGGAATAGGGAGAAGAAGATAGGAGAGAAGTTGATATGGGGCAAGGTGGGTCTGAAAGACCAACTAAAAAACTGCATTTGGCTAATGACGAAGATCATGGAGAAAGTGAAATTCCTTCAAGAATGGTCAGCCGACAGGCAAGCATGGAGTCATCTGAACCTTGTTTAAGAGACGGCAGAGCTGGATCTAGTTCTCAAATTCCCCTCAAACAGTCCCGTGACGAAGGAAAGAATCCCACATCATCTGCACTCTCACGTGGTAATCACAAGAAAGACTTTCTGATTCCAAAAACTGAGGAATCCACAAATTGTGTTCCAGTTTCTGCACAACCAGCTCCAATGAGACGTCCAGGTATATTTGTCTTGCCACTACATGATATTATTATCTATTACAAGATTGTCAAAACCTGTTCCTTTATTCTCATTCTCTCTGGGTTGCAATGAGCTTCCAAAAGTTATAGTTTTTTGGGTCTGGTAAAAGTTATAGTTAGATGCATCAAAATGAAGACAACTGGGCCTCCATAAATATGATGACATCTTTTTTCCCATGTGTACCCAATTGTCCATCCTATTGAAGCCTTAGCTGCTACTGGTTTTTTTTTTTTCCTGACCACCTAGCATGCTACTGTCTAACTCTTCCAGGTTCATCAGGGGGTAACTCTGTCACATCCTTGGCGTCCTCCGAAGTGGGTACAAGTGGTCGGGATGCCCTCCATGTTTCAGGACCAAGTAAGGGACCTTGTAGAATAGAACATTCTCAGGCACATTTAAATGGTATGGGTTCGAGCTGTCTTATCACTCGTGAGGGAAAGAAGCCAATTAAATCTCTCGATGACATATCAAAATCTACCGAAAAAGTGAAAATATCATTGGCAGATGAAATTGGAAATGAGTCTCTCCCGAAGTTCAATTATATTCCGGATAATATAGTTTACCAACATGCCAATGTGAATATCTCACTGGCCCGTATTTCGGATGAAGACTGCTGCATTGGTTGTTCAGGAGATTGTCTTTCATCAGAATTTCCATGTGCATGCGCTCAAGAAACCTGTGGGGATTTTGTGTACACAAAACAAGGCCTGCTAAAAGAAGACTTTCTAACAGCTTGCATGAGGGAACCAGATAAGCAAATTTTTTTTTATTGTCAAGACTGCCCCCATGAGAGGTTGAAGAATGAGTACATGCCTGAAAAATGCAAAGGTCACCACATCAGGAAGTTTATTAAAGAATGCTGGAGAAAATGTGGATGTGACTTGTGGTGTGGAAACCGGATAGTGCAAAGGGGTATTTCCTGCAAGTTACAGGTTATTTTGACTTCGTACCTTTTGGTAGTAACTTTCAATTTGGATATCTTATTTGGCTAATTGATTATTGCTTGGAGCATGTGAAAACCATTTAAACAAAACGACTTTAAACTACTTTTTCTTTTACCTAAAATTAAAATGAGTTTTGATACCTTCATGTTGTGTCTAACTTTCAAGAAGTATAGTAAAGAGATGTTTTTGGACTGTGAGTGTCAAAACTATTGCTTTCTTATATATTCTCTAAGAATTTACTAGCTGAAGCTGCACAATATTTCACCAGAGTTTTCATTTCTTTACTTAGAAATTCTAGATGAGCGCAATGCCCTACTTATTGCTCTTTTAATCTTGTACTATCTTCTTGAAGCATCCATTGATTGGCTATTAACAACGAACACTGGCAGCTCTGTTAAATTTGTTTTCATTGTTAATCCTTATGAAATTGTATTTTTTTCATTACGTTGTTAATAATATGCCATTTTAGATGTTTGAATTTGTTTTACGGAGATCATTATAAGTTGTAATAAACCAGTAAATACATCTTGTTCTGATATGCTTCAGGTGTTCTTGACTCCTGAAGGAAAAGGCTGGGGTGTTAGAACATTAGAGGTCTTGCAGAAGGGGACATTTGTGTGTGAATATGTTGGGGAGATATTGACCAATACGGAGTTATATGAGCGAAATACGCACAGCAGTGGAGCTGAGAGGCATACCTACCCTGTAACACTAGATGCAGATTGGGGCTCAGAGCGAGTTTTGAGGGATGAGGATGCACTATGTCTTGATGCAACATTTCATGGAAATGTTGCAAGATTTATCAATCATAGGTAATATTTGAATGCTTATTCATTTTCTTTTTTGTCTTTGTCTTAGGTTAAGGAGGTCATATTTCCCATTTTTATATGTGTGTATATATAAATGGTATATACACACCTGCATTTTTAATCCTTGCCTATGCAGGTAATTTCGGTGATATAATTTAGAACTGAGGAATCTTGGCATAATAAGTGGTCAGCTAGTTAGCTCATTCCTACCGAGTCAAATAAACAAGTGGAACCTCTTACATTGAATTAACTATTAGGAGCAATTGTCATATTCATTGATCTAGACAAAGATCATATGACTCTAGTCAATTGCTATGTGTGCAATCAAAATTTTAAATCATTTTGCTCCCTGTTTTTTCTTACTATTATTTCCTTTATAATTCCAGATGCTGTGATGCAAATTTGATTGATATCCCAGTTCAAGTGGAGACTCCTGACCGTCACTATTATCATGTATGGGTTTGGTTGCTTCCTATGTGAATTCTTACACACACATATACACACTGTGTATACACATTCAAAAGTTTGAAGGCTTTTCTGTTTGATTGTGATTATACATTGTGAATGAGAAGCATCTCTGAGTATCTTCTTTGTGCTCCTTGTATGCAGCTTGCCTTTTTTACAACCAGGACAGTGAGTGATTTTGAAGAGCTGACGTGGGTGAGTGAACTTGCTTTTCTCTCTACTACTTGAAACTCTTCTTGGCAATTGGAGAAAAAGAAAAGAAAAGAATATGGCTTTGATTTTGGGATTACAGTAGGTTGGTCCCAACTGGGAACTTACTAAGTTCCACTAGCAAGTTTGAGAATTTTTGAGTTTGCGTTGTGGGAGAGTTTGAGCATTAGACGACCTACCACTGGGGTTTATTTTGGATGTCACACGGTGAAAGTTTTTCATTTGTCTTCATTTTGTATAATGGTATGTGTACTACTTATTATATGTATGAAATACACTTGTACTAGTCCAGTGCCGCAAAGTTACATACAATTTCATCCAGGACCATTATGAGTGCTTTGCCAACTGTTCCATATTGAGTTATTGGAAAGTTTGAATTTCTGTGTTCATAAAATGATCGGCAAAATCCTTTTGCAGGATTATGGGATTGACTTTGATGATCTAGAACATCCTATTGAGGCATTTCAATGTAATTGCGGAAGTGTAGCTTGCCGGGGCAAAAGACAGAAAGGACGAAAAGGTAAGCAACACTACAGTTTACAAAAATGATAAAAAAAGGCATTCGTAGCCATTATTTTTATGAGGTTTTTCAGGCTCTGTGACCAAGTCATTTTTTTTTTCAAAAAGGGGTGGGTGATAGTTTACTTGGTGTTATGGTTCCTTGTGACCATTCCATCCGTGCTAATTTCTGAGGCTATAAACTCAACTCCTCCGCAGTGATGAAAATTTTCAGTTTATCTAGTACTTAATTCGTCTTTGTTGCTGGTAATTATGGCTGTTTTCATGTGCGGGGAAAAGATAGAGACTTGACTAATGGCTTGCTTTTGCAGTTAGATGAGCAGTGATCAAGGCTGTACCTTAAACTGGCATAACTTGACTGTGTGATATGATAGCTGATGGTTTTGAAGCACAGCAGTGGCTGATCATATTTTTGAATGGGAATGCTTCCAAGCCCCAAAACTGGACAATTTTGTTGAAAGTGAGAAAATTTAAGCAGAATGTTGGAGAAGATTAGATATATTTTTTAGAAGCCATAGAAGCACACTGGTGATCATAAACAGGATCCTTGTAATGCTATCTCATTCTGTGCGTTTTCGTGGGAAATTTGTAATCAACTTGATTTTACTTATTTCATCATCCAATTTCCCATTGTCACTGAAAATTGAGGAATGACCTCAGGTTTGAGTTTCATGTTCCTGAAAGGGAGCGACTCTGTCTGTAGTGGTGGAAAAGACATGAGCCAAATATCATGCTTTGCCTTCCTCATTTTTTTTTTTCCAGTAAGAAAGTCGTTATGTACAGTCTCTGTTGTCAATCAACTCAAGTTGGATACCATTCCATTTGTTAACATGCTAAATTTAGGTCTCCCGTTTGGCGATGACTTATGTCATGGAAAAAAAAAAACACACGCATAAAAAGAACATTAACATGAACACATGGGCTTAGACGAATTAGCTAGAACGGATGTGCTCTCCATTCTGCATCAGAGTTTGAATCTCCCTCTCTGCAATTTAAATTAATTTAAAATAGATTATCACTTGTATTTAAAAAAATCATTAACATTATAATTTGAAGCATCAACCGTAAGAGAATATTTAGAATTTAATTGTTTGATTATACATACCCAATAAAAAGTTTAATTACAATAGCGAACAGTGCAGGAGGAAATTGTCTAAAATAAAAACTGCGAGGACAAGTGTACAGGACAAAACCCTAGACGAGCCTTATTATACTCCATCTATATTTAAACTCCGGAGCTCAAAACAGCAGGCCACTTCTCAGTCTTGAGATCTGTCGAAACGAGGTCTCTCTCTCTCTCTCTCTCTCTCTCTCTCTCTCTAGTATTTCTTGTTTTTTCAGATTTCAATCTCTAGCCTCAACTGGTCCAAAGAGTTAAACTTTCCTCAGCAACCAAACATGGTGCAGGAGGAAAATGACTAAAATGGATCAACCCTTAATTCCTCTCTAACCCGAGATTTTCTTTGCAAAAGATCACAGCTTGATGGGTTTCTTCTCTTTTATGTCAAAAGTTCATAAATTTGTTTAATTTCGATTTGTTTGAATTGCAGGGCGTGGAGGGTCTGCCGGAAACAAGTTCCGGATGTCGCTGGGTCTGCCGGTGGCTGCCACAGTGAACTGCGCAGACAACACCGGTGCCAAGAACCTTTACATAATTTCTGTAAAGGGAATCAAGGGTCGCCTTAACCGCCTCCCTTCTGCTTGTGTTGGTGACATGGTGATGGCAACTGTCAAGAAAGGCAAGCCTGATCTCCGTAAGAAGGTCTTGCCTGCTGTTATTGTGCGCCAGCGCAAGCCATGGCGCCGAAAGGACGGTGTTTTCATGTACTTTGAAGGTAATTTATTGTTTTTATGTTAGATAAAGTTTTTTTTGTTGATTTGAACGTGTTTAGAAGAATGGTTATGCGTTGAATTGAAATGAATGCTTTAATTGATGTGGAAGTAATTGGTGTGTCCTGTTATATAGTTAAGCTGGTTTGGTATGTGGATTCTGTAATATCCAGGTTATCGTGCATCACCATAATTTTTCTTGATATTGTTTGTGCACTGGTTGTGGGCAATTGGGCTGTTGGAATTTAAATTGTTGTTTAGGATGGTTGCTCTGAATGATCATATACTTTTGTGTTTGTGTTTGTATGATTATACCAATGGAGCTGGCCATTTTGTTTTGGACTCTGTAGAGAGTTTAAAATTAAGATTTTAGACATGATACATTGCAGTAGGGAGTTTAACTTATCTAAAAAATTGAAGTATTTTATGATGTAAGTCATTCTGCTCCTCAAGGTTTCTGACCGTGATTGTTCTTGTGATTCAGATAATGCTGGTGTCATCGTAAATCCAAAGGGCGAAATGAAAGGTGTGTAGCCGTTCTATAATAGTGTCACCTATTAATAACTTCACTATAAGAATATACTATTTGGTGGTTTTGGAGGTTTAGTATAGTGCATGCATGATTGCTTGCTTGCTTAAACTATTTGATTCTGTAGCCTTGAAAGTCCTAGAATGTGGTAAGTAAGGCTTGTCTTAGTTCAGGTGATGTGAAAAGGTGTGTAGCCGTTCTATAATAGTGTCACCTATTAATAACTTCACTACAAGAATATACTATTTTGTGGTTTTGGAGGTTCTATATAGTGCATGCATGATTGCTTGCTTGCTTAAACTATTTGATTCTGTAGCCTTGAAAGTCGTAGAATGTGGTAAGTAAGCCTTGTCTTAGTTCAGGTGATGTGAAAATATTGGTCTGTCTGAAATCCAGTTAAGTCATCTGCCATTAGTTTCAACATTGTAGGACCATTATCTTAACAATGTTCTTCATTTCACTTGCTGTCGTAGGGTCTGCGATCACTGGACCTATCGGAAAGGAATGCGCTGATCTGTGGCCAAGAATTGCAAGTGCAGCCAATGCCATTGTTTAAGTTCTTCAATTCCCTTATTTATATTGTTTTGTTTTTTTTTCAAATTTTACTGATATTAGTTTGACTATCATGTAGACTGTTTTATGATTGTAAGGGAGCCTATTTCTTTTAATCACTACAAAATTTCGGTAGGTCCATTTATTTTCATGTTTTCTGTTCATCTTATCGGTCTATTTCACTTGCACAATTTCTGCATGATTGCATTGCTAAATCATTTAGGATAAGCGGTTTCCATTTGTGCTCATTTGCACTTGGAGCATAGTTTCCATCTTTGTTCTTGGTGGCTGGGGAGTTACACTAAAAAACAATTGCATTGAGTTGGTTTACCTCTGGATTCTAGTAGGCATGCTTTTTGGTTACATGAAATTTTGGAAAAAAGGACAAGTTTAATTTAAGAAATACGTTGAGGCACAAGCAAGCTACTGTAGTAGCATAGCAAGTTGCAGTCACAAAATCATCCGGGGCCATGAGACATGAGACTGGTTTACAGTTGATTGTGGTTAGGGCTTTTATCTCGTCTATGATGGTTATATAAGTTAGCCAATAATGCAGATTGATTATATGGATAATCAACTCCTGTCTTTGTGTGTTTTAATTCGCGAAGAGGAAAATGCTGTTATTGATTAACAAACATAAACAAAGTATATACACAAAAGTGTGAAGAGAGGTGAGCCCTCACTTAGCCATCTAGTCAAGTAATCATACAGTTTCAAGCTTAGGAAAAATCTGATGCTTTAAATGAGTGGGATCAACTGAAAGTCTAGGAGTTGTTCATCCAACTCCTTGAAGTCACATTATTTAGACCTTTTTCTATTATCACTTATCAGTCTATCAAATCTCAGAACAAAAGAAAACGCCTATCAAGCTCAAGAACTAATACAAACACAAACCAACAAATCATAAACTATGACGCTCTTCCTCATCCGAGTTTACCAACAGCACCCTTCTGCGACTTGGCACAGTATTCGAACAAGCTTCCATCGAAACAGCGCCTCACGGCTTCCTTTGCCAAGTAGCCATGTTCATCTTTCGCAAGAACATACAGAACTCCCCATTCCAGTTTACTTGCAATCCTGCAACAGTATCAGAATTGAATTAACTATACTATGTTTTCGCGGGTGTGTGCGTGTGCTCGAGAGAGGAAGATAGAAAGAGACCAGCCAAAGAAATCAAAGGCGTCACGGTTAGCTTGAGTCATGTGCCAAAGCTCCTTGAAGGTGAGCTTATCAGGCACGGTACAGGCGTACTTGCTGAACAGATTCTCAAGATTTGCCGGAATATACCTGCAGCATACATAGAAGACAACATATACTAAGCTTGCAGTAGCTATAACTTTTAGCCAAAGAAAATGCTGGTATGGAAAGAACTAACAGGATTGCAATTTCATGTGACAGTTTAATGTACATGCAAAGCCCCAATTAGTTTTTACCAATTAACTACCCATGATCCATCCATCCATCATTATTTATTAGGTATGAGCAAAGCAAGTATTCTCATCTCACCTTCCCTCTGTGTCATAGGCCCCTGAGTCACTTCCATGCTTTGCCCGGTGTATGTTTTCGATGTGTATTGCAAAGTAAGGTGAAGGCATCCATGTCTGCAGAAGAAAAAAGGAATTAGCCTTTTGGTGATCAGTTGGCTCTTAAAAGTTACAAAATAGAAAAGGCATTGTCTAACTTACAGGCAGAGTTGCATAACTCATTGCTGCATGGACAAGAACCATGAAAATGAAAGAAGCAACGACATTAAACCCGAGTGCACGAAATCCTGCAAATACTAATTCAAGTCAGATCTGTTGCTGTGTTGTGACAATAAAAAACCTAATACTTAGAAATTTTCGAAATTGATGGATTGATTTATAGCTGTCTAAGCTTACCTCTATATGTCTCGGAAGGGTAGATGATACCATCCTTGTCTTGGTCGAAAAAAGCTGCATGCTGCTGAAGCACAGACATATTACAATGCTTATGTCCCCATGTGCCATTGATGTTCTCCGTATCAGGAGCAGTCATAGCTCTAGGCATGTCTAAATTAAGAAGAAGAAGAAGAAGAAGAAAAATTAATATTTGCTAATTTTTGTACAACTTAAAAGGTAAAATTAAAACAAGTGAAGTAATTTAAATAAACAAAACTGAAACTAATTACAAGGCTTGGGGAGCTTGGTCTCCAGATCATTGCGGACCTTCCTCTCCGCGGTGATTGGTGCCTTCTCAGCCACCGTTGCCATGGCTTCCTTCGATACCTGTTGCTCAGTCGCCATCTCTCTCTCTCTCTCTCTCTCTCTCTCTCTCTTCAGCTACCTACGGAGTACGTACTTAGGTGCACAAGAACTTAATCTGCTCTGTGATTTGTAATCAGATAATTGACCCTGCTCTAATAATTAATGAATTAAACAAACAAACAAACAAGGATTGGAGAAGTGGTAAGAAGCTGATAATTGAGCACAACAAACTCCAAGTGACTCGCAGTGCTTGTCGCAGTTTGACACTTGTACACAAATTTTTTCTTTTTGTATTGTCGATTATATGTCAAATTTTTATTTTGCGAAAAAAAGAAGTAATGGTTATTTATTTCAATGTGAATTTAGGTTATCCAATGATAATTAAAGCCTTTGCCTTATGAAGATTGAACCCATACTCGTTGTGGTCTAGTTTTTCTTTTGGGCCTATGTGATGTAACCGAAAAAGAACATTTCTTTGTTCATTATTTTATTTTTGGGTTATAACTTTATAAGGCTTAATTGGTGATTTGTCCCCATAAACTTGTACTTAGTTTTTGATTTATCCTCTATCCTTTTTTTTATATAAAAAAAATAAAAAATTAAGGATATGAATTTCTTTTTTTAATCCAATTTCCCCTATTCCGTTTAATTCCTCAACATTCCATCCAATTTGCTGTTAAATATGAGGGTAAATTGGTTATTTTTATGTTAAAATAAAATAAAAATAATTTAAATTTTGAAATAATAATTATAACACTAAAGTAAAATCTCTCTCTGTCTCTCTCTCTCTCTCCCCAAGCCCTTCTTACCCAAATCCCAACCTCCCATGTCCTCCTCACAAATCACACAACCACCCATTCTCTCTCCCTTGACTTCTCTCCCTGCCCTCATTCCACCCAAAGATCGAACACATCCCATGTAATAACACCAAAACCACCACCATATATTTGAAAAAAAAAGGTTGCGAACGGGTCTTGGGATGAGTTGCGGGTGGGGAAGGGGGTGGTCAGGTTAGGGGAGAAAAAAAGAGAGCGAAAGGGGGGTATGTGGGTGGGGATAGGTTTCTTTTTTTGTTTTTGTTTTGTTCTCTTTTTCTTTAGTTTTTTTCTAAAAAATATATATTTGTTTTTAATGATTTAATAGAAAATTGGATGAAATGTTGATGATTTAGATGGCATGGGAGAAATTGGAGAAAAAATGTTCATATCCTTAATTTTCTAAAAAAAAAAGAATATGAGATAAATCGAAAGTTAGGTACATATTTAGAGGGCAAGTCACCATTAAAACTTTTAATTTTCTGTTCATTGTTGTAAACAGAAAGAAAAAGCAAGTCACCAGTTAAAACTTTTAATTTTCTGTTCATTGTTGTAAACAGAAAGAAAAAGCAAGTCACCAGTTAAAACTTTTAATTTTCTGTTCATTGTTGTAAACAGAAAGAAAAAGCAAGTCACCAGTTAAAACTTTTAATTTTCTGTTCATTGTTGTAAACAGAAAGAAAAAGCAAGTCACCAGTTAAAACTTTTAATTTTCTGTTCATTGTTGTAAACAGAAAGAAAAAGCAAGTCACCAGTTAAAACTTTTAATTTTCTGTTCATTGTTGTAAACAGAAAGAAAAAGCAAGTCACCAGTTAAAACTTTTAATTTTCTGTTCATTGTTGTAAACAGAAAGAAAAAGCAAGTCACCAGTTAAAACTTTTAATTTTCTGTTCATTGTTGTAAACAGAAAGAAAAAGCAAGTCACCAGTTAAAACTTTTAATTTTCTGTTCATTGTTGTAAACAGAAAGAAAAAGCAAGTCACCAGTTAAAACTTTTAATTTTCTGTTCATTGTTGTAAACAGAAAGAAAAAGCGGTGTTATTATTCACAACTATATCCAATTAACTTCTATGAGCAATAAGTAATTGCTAGAAAGAGAAAGTAATAAGTAATGAGGAATGCTAGCAATCTTCTTTTTTGGACATTCTCTATTTTCTTCATGACATGTGTCACTATCCTTACACGTAAAACAATGTCATTAATGTATCATACAAACTATGTTTTGTTTTCCAAATTTACCCTTATTATATGTATTGACTTTCATTTTCTTTCAATTTAACCAGATTTGGTTTTTTTTTTCATAAATTAAAGAAAACATGAAATTCAATACATTTATTAAGGGTAAACTTGGAAAACAAAACATAATTGGTAAGATGCATTAAGAACATTGTTTTAAGGCTGCGTTTGGTTCATGGGAAAAGAATCTTTCTGTTCATTGTTGTAAACAGAAAGAAAAAGCGGTGTTGTTATTCACAACTATATCCAATTAACTTCTATGAGCAATAAGTAATTGCTGGAAAGAAAAAGTAATAAGTAATGAGGAATGCTAGCAATGTTCTCTTTTGGACATTCTCTATTTTCTTCATGACATGTGTCACTATAATTACACGTAAAACAATGTCATTAATGTATCATACAAACTATGTTTTGTTTTTCAAATTTACCCTTATTATATGTATTGACTTTCATTTTCTTTCAATTTAACCATATTTGGTTTTTTTTTTAATAAATTAAAGAAAACATGAAATTCAATACATTTATTAAGGGTAAACTTGGAAAACAAAACATAATTGGTAAGATGCATTAAGGACATTGTTTTAAGTGTAATTAAGGAGAATGACACGTGTGAGAGAAATGAAAAAGATCCAAATAAGAAGGTTAGAGAAAAAATTGTTAACATTCCCCATAAGTAATTGACCAAATCCAGATAAACCTAAGAAATAAGAAGGGAAATTTGCAAGCAGACCCAACCCAAAGCATTGAAGCGTGAATGGGAAATAGCGTAAAAAGGACAAAGAGGGGCCACTTGAGAGAGTGGGTCCCACCAGCTTTGTGTATGGCTGCCATTCAGACCACCACCAAAGTACTCTCCTCAAATCATAACTGTTGATTAATCATCAAATTAATTATAATTAATCCAAACCAACGGCCAGAATCTAAGATCAAAATTCAATGGTGGCAGCTTAACATTTTCCTAGTCATCACAAAGAGAGAGAGAGAGAGAGAGAGAGAGAGAGAGAGAACAGAAGACAAATACGTTCTTCTCTGGAGTTAGTTCTTGTGATGTGAGATTAAGTAAAGGAGAGAACAGCCGTCGTCATATCATTCCGTGTCTACCAGAATCTTCATAGATAGTTTTCCTCTCTTATTTTTTTTGGCTCGCTTTTCTGCTGCATACCCCCAAAGCTTTCAACTTTGATTCAAAGTCCAGCCTTTGGGATTCAAGTTTCAGTTTTCTCACTCTTGGGTAAGATTGCTCAATTCCCACTATTCTGTTTACATAGATGATTTTTCTGTATAGTTTATATCTCCATATCAGTTTTGTTTTCTCTGAAATTATGGGAAATCAGTATGCTTTCTTGACGTGTTCTGTGCTGTGCTGTCTTTAATTTTGAACAGATAATTTGATTATATGCGGTTTTGCGTAGTTGAGTTCGTTTGCTTTTGCTCTTTGGGTTATTTTTGTGTTATGTGCTTATTGACGTGTTTATGATGCTATGTGGGAGTTTATTGATTATAGTTGTTTAAGGGATTGAAATTATGGATCATTTTTGTGGGGTTGAGATTTGGTCGGTTGGAAAATATCAAAAGTCTTCTGAAAAGTTAATTTCAGTTTGCTTTTAAACTCATATAAATAAATGTTCAATCTCTGCGACTTTGACTTTTGTTTATACCACCGTTGGCCGAGATATGGTGAAAAGACTTTGACCAGCCTCATTCTGTATGTAATTTTCTTCTCACAGGTACCAGCAATCAGCTCATTGGATGATAGTGAATGTGAATATTAGGCTGAATGTGGTTAAAGCTCTCCTTGTGTGTAATGTAGTTTCTGTTATGTTGACAATGAAGAATAACGTTGTGGGAGTGGCTGGGAAGACACTAGTCGGCAGACTTGAGTCGCAAACAATAACGAACATCCATACTGCTCTATTTATTTGAAGATCGGGTGCAAAACGGATGAGTAACTTCGGGTCTTCCAAAGCTATGTCTTCATCATTTCCAAATCTCTCTACCCCTCTTGATGATAAGTATTCCAGATTGCCAGATTCTTTTCAGGTTTCATCACAAAGGGAGAAGACTAGATATTCTATGTTACCACAGGCTTCTTCCCCGGGGCACTTAGTTTCATCATCTTCCAGGCCCAATGATGTTCATTTTTCCTCAGTTTCCCCTTGTGAAAGGCGTTCCCAAAATTCTCCATTCATTTTTAAATTACCAGTTGATGAAAAATCATTGTCACTGACACATTCTTCCCATTCAGAAGTACAACCTACAGCATTGATTAATTACTCTGAAGAAAATAAAGATATTTCCTGGTACCCAGATTCACTTCAGGAATTTCTTCATTTCCCTGAAAATGTCCCTGACCAGAATGGCCTGGTGGATAGTAGTGCTGGTGTCATAACATCTGAGGATCATGCTGAAAAGACCGATTGGTCTGATTGGGATCCATTAATTTCCTTTGATGATGCTCTGGACCCAAACTGGGAGCTTCCCATTGATGTTGATGCAGTGGATCCCAAACCAAAGGTGTGTTTTGATACTTCTATTTGGATGATTACAGTCAGTATTTCCAATAGAGCTAAAACATTTTGATAATTTCATGGCTATTTTATTGTTTAGTGAATAATAATGTGGTATGATATTTTGTTTCTAGTCAGCAGTTTTTGTGACCTTAATATATAGCGACTATTTTGTTTTGACACATCTTTTAGAGACTTCAAAAAATTGAATTTTCACATTGAACTTTACTTCGGGGTTAGTCTGTCTATGTTTACTTATAACTTTAAACATGCCAGGTGTTGAACCCATATTCTGATATCCTGGTGCAGCCGCCCCTGATTCAACAGCATCAGCCAGTTCAATCTGAAGAATTTCGTCCCAGCCCTGAACCATTGTCCACTGCACCTCCAACCAAACCCAGAATGCGTTGGACACAAGAACTTCATGAAGCCTTTGTGGAAGCTGTCAACCAGCTTGATGGTAGTGAACGTGGGTAACACATGCTACCATGTTTTGTTTTTGGTCATCATGTTATAGTTCTTTATTTCCATGGGTATGAGAAGTGACAGCTTCTTTTGTCATTGGCTAATAACTAACAAACAGGAGCTACTCCTAAGGGTATTTTAAACCTCATGAAAGTTGAAGGCTTGACAATCTATCATGTAAAAAGCCATTTACAGGTATGCGAATATATTTCTATCCTCGATTAGTTCCCTATGACAAGTTGGTGGTTGTTTTATTTGTTTTGCTGGACCTTTTTTTATTATTTTAAATTTCAGAAATATAGAACAGCCAGATACAAACCGGAGTCATCAGAAGGTAAATATTACCTCCTTTGTTATTTATTAGGTGTTTTGCTTGAAACATCTTTGAGGCCTTTGGCTTGCCAAATTGTCATTTATAAAAATGTTTTGATTTCTAGGTGGTTTCTCTAATTAGTCCTCCTGGTAGTTATGAACAGCCTTTTGTGTTGCTTGATGGTTAAACTTTTCTTCAAACTCTTAGAAATACTGAGCTGACTTTCATTTATACATTTCTGTTTCCCCTCACTTCCTATGTTATTGTGTTACAGTATGAAATATACATCATTTGTGTTCCTTTATTATGTCATTATAATCCTCTCTTGTCTGAAAAAGAAGATCCCTATGTGTATGTCTATGCGTGTATGTAGACATCTCTTCGTAAAAGAATCTAGCATTTGAGTTATGAGTAAATTATGTTCTTCTTTCTTTTCTGCGTATGTCTATGTGTGTATGTAGACATCTCTTTGTAAAAGAATCTAGCATTTGAGTTATGAGTAAATTATGTTCTTCTTTCTTTTCTGCCAGGAGCGTGTGAGAAAGTTTCAACTCCGGTTGAAGAAACAAATTCTCTAGACTTGAAAGCGTATGTATTTTTCATTCACCCAGAATATTGAAGCATAAGCATCTCACTCTTTTCTTTTCCTTTACTAATTTATCCCCTCTAGTTTGTGACCATTGCTATACTATGTTATAAAAGTTTCGTGTATTCTCTTTGTTAGCACAAAAGTTTCATTTATTAACCTATGCAACTGGGAATGCTAAGCTTTTCTGCGAGAGATCTGTACTACAATCTATTTGTGAGGTATTAAGTTGAAATCAGGCTTCTCCTTTTGTTGTCCACCTCGTGCAGGAGTTTGGGGATTACTGAAGCATTGCGGTTGCAGGTGGAGCTCCAAAAGCGGCTTCACGAACAACTTGAGGTATGCAGTTGGAAGACACAGATTGCCTTCTCTATTTTCTGTTTAGAATGTGTAACAACTGTTTGCTTGTTGGGAACTGGGTAGGGTGTAAAGAATCAGTGTAATTTACATCTTGAGAGTTCAGTTTTGTTTCTTGTTTAAATTAGTTTTATTGAATAGTAATTTAAATATTCTGTTGATGATTCCATGCGTCTCTCTCTCTCTCTCTCTCTCTCTCACACACACACACACACACACACATGGGGGAGGGAGAGAGTAAGTGTGTATTGGTTGTTCACTTGTTCTGATGTCATATTTAATTCTTGCAGAACCAAAGAAATTTGCAGTTGCAAATTGAAGAACAAGGAAAGTACCTTGAAAAGATGTTTAAGCAACAGAGAAAGATGGAAGACAGCAGGGTGAAGCCCGCATCATCCACTGTGGATGACCACGCTACTCCACCATCAAATCTTGTGTGTCCTTCCCCTGGAGAGGATAAACCAGAGACCTCCAAACATGACCATGAGAAAACACTAATAAGCGCTAGTAGTGCGAGCACCCCCTTGGAAGAAGGTTCACAAGATGCAAATAGGAAGAAGCAGAAGGCACGAGAAACCGAAAGTCAAGAGGAGCCTGACCACCCAGGTGATGTTGAGTCTGGTACCCAGCCCACAAAACGTGCCAAGAATGGATGAAACATCGGTATAATCGATTGAGTTGCTCCGTATTGAAATCTTATATCATGCATTTTGCTGCTCCAGGAGTTCTCTCGTCCCAGTTTCGGTGGTTTAAACTATAGTTCATGGTTGACCAAAACATAAAACCTTAGTTCATGAGTTTCCTGATTAGCATTCTCTGACTAGGGATGGATTCTTTCTTTCTACGTTGAGAAATGTCACCACCACCTAGAATGATGGGTTTACTTTTTGTGCTTATGAGATGCTTATTATTAATTATTAGATGAAATTGTTCAAAAGTGAATAATTTTTTTTTCTTCTCAAATATGACAATCAGTATCATGTATGTTATGTACAGTAAGTACTATTATGAGATTAATATTCCATTATCTTTTTGGAGCACATGCTAGATTTCTGTTTAGAACCATTGATAATCTGAATTTATCTATATTTTAGTTGAAGAACGGTAAAAAAAACATCACAAGGGAAAAGAAAAAGAAATTATTAAATTTTTTGTCATCTTTTTTGTTTCCCTTTTATATTTAAATAGCCGAATTCAGTTTGTGCCACCTCGATGAATTATTTTTTTTAAAAAAAAGGTTAATTACATTTTTGGTCATTGGGTTTGGCTCGAAATCAAATTTGGTCATCGTAGTTTCAATTTTCTCACTTTGGTCATCGTATTTGCAGTAGTAAACAAACTGACAGAATTGAAGCATTTGATTGAATTTGTTAACTACTCCAAATACAGTGACCAAATTGGAAAAATTAAAATAATGGTGATTAAATTTGATTTTGAGCCAAATCCCAGTAACTAAAAATGTAATTAACCCAAAAAGAAAATTGAAACCCCATTCATCAAGCCCAAAATCAGAATACTCCATTTATGCATGTCTTCCTCCATGTATGTCTCAACTCGCTCCGCATAGGCCCAAAAAAGCCAGGTCACCACGGCTCATCCCCGAATTGTATAAATCCACCCCAAAATATTCCCGCCATCTCCCTTAAATAAATCCACCTTAAAATATCTTCTTCTCTCAACCGACAGCGCGAGCGACCATGGACATGGAGACCAGCAAAGAAGGCTATTATGAGCTTTTTGTCAAGTGGTACAAGGATCCAGAAGTCTTTCAGATGGTGAAGAAGAGGTTAGTTTCGCCCTCAAATGCAAAAACGACAGACATAATCCTCATTTTACATACATATATCTGATTTAATTTAAATTCTGTGTTTTCCTAGGTTTGCAAGAGCCACGTTGACGACGCATATCGACAACATGGACAACAGCGTCATCGGCAACGTGAACAAGGGTGTAGGTGATATGCCAAAGCAGGAATTGAAGTGGTATGAGAATCCAGAAATCATGGAATTGAAGTGGTATGAGAATCCAAAAATCGTCCAAAATTTGAAGGAAATGTTTGGCCCTTCACTGTACGAAGATGGCATTCCTGACCTTACCTCTTTTCTCAGTCGCTGCCCTCAAGGCTTTGGTACATGTCTTTTTTTAAAATAGGATACTTATTTAAAAGAACAAATACTTGTGCATGCACCAACCAATGAGATGAGCCTTTGCATTGTTTTGTGCAGAAATAGATTTGCAGCTAGTCCGTTGGAGCCGAGATCCAGACATATCCAAAATGTTGCGTAATAGGTGGTTTGAGCCTCTGCTGAACGAAGATGGAAAGCCTCAAGGCATCGCTTTCTCTAGGCACTTCCCTCAATGCTCTAATAACTCTAAATCAACAAAATACTCTTCTAAATATAAATCTACATCTAAATCATGCTTTACATACTTTACTTACTGATTAGCTAGATTACATGCTTTACAACTTTTGAAAATAAATATAATTGGTCATCCCATGATGGTGTAGATACTTGGAGGACTGGTAGGCTGCCGCATCTCTTTTTGCGCAACTGTTACATACACTTGTGAATATGGGCAAGACATGATTGTTGTTATAGGTTCATAGTGCAGACTAAAATTTATCAAGAAGATCGTGGTAGATTTCATTGTTCATAATGTGGATCCTTCCCCTCGTATCAATGCCATTTTAAGGATTTTAAAAGTCAGGAAAGATCTTGAGGATTTGCATTTATGAAGAATCTCAACCATTTTGGAGGACCTTGTTTTTGTTGGAGTTATAGTCTCATTTTAATTAGCACTAAATATGTATGTTGCAACATATTAGTAATCGCTTAATTATGGGTTAGTTTTTGTTTACTTTGCACTTTAGCATATAAATCATGTTAAGGCAGGTTGGTTTGGCGGGTACTTGGGTTTTGAATTTGAACAGTGTAATAATTGTATCATGTTATTTTTTTCATTTCCTTTTTCTTTCTCAAATATGACGATCAATAATCATGTATGCTACTAGGCCAACATGAGAACAACAGTACGTATAGGTATAGGTATAGCCCATCTATCATGTAGCCCAATTTTGAACAGTATGTATAGATAAAACGGAGTTCGATCTTAATGTCTAGAACACATTCATTGTGAAGCAGTTGCATTCACATTCATTGTTAATGGATGGTTTTACAGTCTTGTTTTGTTTTCTCTGAAATTCAATAACATGACCATAGTTATCAACTCAAGAATTAGCGAATTGCTTATATTTTCTTTACCACCACTCCATAAATAAACACTTTATTTATTTAAGGGCTTTTAATTTTATCACAAACAAATGGTTCTTGAGGTTCATGAAATTATCTTATTTTATTTTATTTTATTTTATTTTTTGAATTGGATGGCAAATGCACATAGTCCTAATAATTTATGTGGTGTTTCTTGAAAATAAAAAACACAAAAACAAATTAAGGATGAAAAGAGAAAGAACAAATGATTTTTTATTTTTTATTTTTGCTCTGAAAACCAATTATAATAGGCTGGGCAATATGCTTTTGTAATTGGAAATTGGATGTGTTGATGTTGTGTCCCTTCGAACACAAACTGTCAAATTTCACATCGCATCGCAAGTTCGCAACCTTGTTTTTACTAGGTAGGTCCTTCCTCTGCTGCACCCAAAACAAATTTATTAAGCTCACGAAACAGGAACACAGAGAGGGAGAGAGAGAGAGCAAAGAAGATGTTGTTTCAAGTGGGAGGCCAACGGACTCGTCCCACGCTCCTCGAAATGGCGGCTGCTCAGCAGCTCCTCGCCAGTCTTCGCACCGCTCTCACCTATTCCATCGGCGTAAACTCTTCCTCTCTGTACTCTCTTCTTCTTTTTCTCTTTTGTAAAAAATTGATTGTTTACAACTTACTCTCTTTGTTTCTGGGGTTTGGTAGGCTGAGAATGATCTTATCTCTAAATGCTAATTTCAACAAGTATTAGCTTTATGAAGACCCTTCCTCCATAGGGTGTTAGATATGAAGACGAATTCTTTTTGTTGCTCAAGCTAGTTCCCGAAACTCATAGCTTAAGAACTACAGGTTTTGAGATTGTTAGAAGAGCAGATGGATGGCACGTGTTCTAGTTAGAGTTGTTAGAAGTCTGTTAGTTTGTTAAAACGTTGGTTTCTTAGACTAAGACTGTTATTAGATATTGTTTATACCACAATTAACAAGCCAAAAATGTAATTTTAATTGTTTTATATTTAAAGGATAATCATGATTTATTTTATAAAGAAATTTTAATTATTTGACTAGTATTTTCTAGTAGAACTCTAAAAATCTGTTTAGATAAAATTGTATAGAAAATATTAATATAGATGAAAACAAAAACAATAGTAAAGTTGACACATCGGGTGGAGTATATAGTTTGATAGAATGTCAAATTGTCACGTAAGTCATCAAATTGTTCAAAAGTGTGATTATTTTTTCAATAGTGTGAGCCGTTGCATTGTTTCGTGCAGCAACATTTTTGCAAAAAGCATGGCCGAAGGTGAAATCTGCTTTAAAAGGGTATGGTATCATATGCAGATTGGATGCGCGCGGTATGTCATAATAAATTAATGATGTTTTTGAAATATCTACTCTTGATCAATTGGTGGTTGATTCAAATTATGTATGATTGGATGCAGATACTAATTAACTTGTTTTATTTTTAATCATGTATATATGGTCAGGTTTTTGGTTACATAACAATCAAAACAACCAAGACTACTGACCCAGATATTATTGTCAAGGCCAAGCAGCTTGTTCATCTCTTATCAATACGTATTCCGGTAAATCATGTACAAACGATAGTTGTTTGTTATTTGTCTTTCTCATCTGCATCATCCTTCCTTTCCTATGAGTTATATATTCTGTGGTTTGAATTTGAAATTAAAACTAATAACTCTAAATCAACAAAATACTCTTCTAAATATAAATCTACATCTAAATCATGCTTTACATACTTTACTTACTGATTAGCTAGATTACATGCTTTACAACTTTTGAAAATAAATATAATTGGTCATCCCATGATGGTGTAGATACTTGGAGGACTGGTAGGCTGCCGCATCTCTTTTTGCGCAACTGTTACATACACTTGTGAATATGGGCAAGACATGATTGTTGTTATAGGTTCATAGTGCAGACTAAAATTTATCAAGAAGATCGTGGTAGATTTCATTGTTCATAATGTGGATCCTTCCCCTCGTATCAATGCCATTTTAAGGATTTTAAAAGTCAGGAAAGATCTTGAGGATTTGCATTTATGAAGAATCTCAACCATTTTGGAGGACCTTGTTTTTGTTGGAGTTATAGTCTCATTTTAATTAGCACTAAATATGTATGTTGCAACATATTAGTAATCGCTTAATTATGGGTTAGTTTTTGTTTACTTTGCACTTTAGCATATAAATCATGTTAAGGCAGGTTGGTTTGGCGGGTACTTGGGTTTTGAATTTGAACAGTGTAATAATTGTATCATGTTATTTTTTTCATTTCCTTTTTCTTTCTCAAATATGACGATCAATAATCATGTATGCTACTAGGCCAACATGAGAACAACAGTACGTATAGGTATAGGTATAGCCCATCTATCATGTAGCCCAATTTTGAACAGTATGTATAGATGAAACGGAGTTCGATCTTAATGTCTAGAACACATTCATTGTGAAGCAGTTGCATTCACATTCATTGTTAATGGATGGTTTTACAGTCTTGTTTTGTTTTCTCTGAAATTCAATAACATGACCATACTTATCAACTCAAGAATTAGCGAATTGCTTATATTTTCTTTACCACCACTCCATAAATAAACACTTTATTTATTTAAGGGCTTTTAATTTTATCACAAACAAATGGTTCTTGAGGTTCATGAAATTATCTTCTTTTATTTTATTTTATTTTATTTTTTGAATTGGATGGCAAATGCA